GGAGACTTTGCAGAGCTGGTTTTGTGTAGACATATTCTTCTAGTTTTTCTTTGCTATTGAAGTATCTGATTTCGTTCTCATATACAAATGAGATCTTTGCTGGGTAGATTATTTTTGGTTGACAGTTGTTTTGTTTCAGGACTTGGAAGATCTTTGTCCATTCTCTCCTTGCTTGTAGGGTCTCTTCGGAGAAGTCAGCAGTGATTCTGATGGGTTTTCCCCTGTATGTGATCTTTTCTCTACTTCGTACTTGTCTCAGGATTCCTTCTTTGTCTTCATTGGAGTAGAACTTGAGCACCGTGTGTCTGGGTGAAGATCTCTTTGGATCATGTCTGTTGGGAGTTCTCTGTCCGTCCTGTATGCGGGGTGGATTTGTGTTCCAAGTGTTTTGGAAGTTTTCCTGTATAATTTCATCAAGCACTGCTTGCATCCCAGATTCTCTTTCTACTCCCTCGGGGAGGCCGATGATCCGAATATTCAGTTTTCTAAGGTAATCTTTCATCTCTTGCATCATTTTATTAGTTTTGCTGAGGTTTGTCTCCAGCTGTTTAATTCGCTGGACACCTTCATTTTGTGTGTCTTCTGTTTCAGAGATCCTTTCCTCTGCCGCATTTATTCTGTTGATGAGGCTTTCAATTTTATTCTCTTGGGCATCCAGTTTGGTTTTGATTTGTTGTATTTCGGTGATTATGCGGTTCTGGAGGTCTTCCAGCTTTGTGTCCACGTCTCTGAGAGATTTTAGCATTATTTTCATCAATTCCTTTGTTGGTAACACTTCCATGTCTTCATCTCGCATCGCCGATATTGATAATGGCTTTTGGCCCTTGTTTGGTGGGGTGCTGGCTCTTTCATCTGGAGCACAACTCTTTCTGGTGGTTTTTCCCATTGCGTTGGTGTATTCTGGTGGGGCAAATGGACCCGTGTGTTGAGGGGCTGTCAGGTGCTTTCCTGTAGAGATTGGAGCCTGCAGGCGTGGTGTTGCCGGGCGTGGTAATTTTCAAGGCACCGTTGGTGCGTTCTCAGGGCCCGGGGCTGTAGAGCACCACCTTGGGGGCCCAGTGGATTCCAGGCACACTCTGGGCACCTCTTCTACAGGTGTGACACCCCAGGGCGTGGAGGGATGGAGGCGCTCTCTGGGTGTGCCCCCTGTGCGGGAATCCCCAGGGCTTAGAAGGTTTTATGTGCTTTCTCCCTGCGTTCTCCGTGTCAGGGACTGCAGGGTTTTTCAGGGCCCACCTGTTGCGTCTCCCACACACGGGACTGTGGGTGAGGCACTTTCCAGGCGTGGCTCTTGTGCAGTGAATCCACCACTCGTGGTGTGTGGGTGTTCAGAGCCCCTGCTCCCGTGTGGCTCCCCCACACAGGCCCTTAGCGGAGGAGTGACCCAGGCGCCCTGTTATAATGACTTCACGGCAGGTTCTCACCGTGTCAGTGTGATGCAGGAGTTTTCAGAGCTCTCCTGGTGGGTCGCCCACGCTCAGAACTGCGGAGTGGGAGGCTAGGAGTGAGCAGTTCACCCTATGGGAGTGGTACCTGCGTGCCAGGGACACACAGCGCTACACTTCCCAAAACTGGGAGCTCTCCTGACACCTGACACCTGACACCTGTGCTGCGGAGGCGGCTGCTGCAGGCAGCGATCAGAATCCTCCACCAGGCAGGATGTGGGGGACTCCAGATCCTCGCCAGCAGCCTCTGCGCACCGAGACGCACTGGCCCCCCTCAGCGCTGGAACATCCGAGGCGCCTTCCCTCACCACCAACACCACTGTGCGTAGTTCCCAAGGCACAGATCCAACCGTTTCAGGCTGCCTGCCCCGCCTTCTCAGAGGCTGGAACCTCAGTAGGGGGCGAGGAATGCGGAGGCTGCCACGTCAACCCCCCCGCTCACCAAACGTCCGGCTGCTGCAGTCTGCCTCCGCCGCTGTCAAAGGCTTCCCGCCGGCGACGATCCACCCGATCTCCCTGCCTCCGAGCTGGCCGCGTCTCCCGTCAGGCCGTTTTCAAAAGTGACTCTGCAGGTCTGGAGTGGGATGTCGGTTTCTCTACCTTTGTCCTGCTCCGTTCTCGTTGTTCTTCCGAGTTGTGTGGATCTTTTTGGCTCCACACTGTCCCAGGGAGCTTCACAGACCTCTCCCTGCGGTTCCCTGCTGTTCCTCTTTGCTGCTTCTGTAGCGTTTTATCCCTATCTCGCTGAACGCTCCCTCACAGCCTTCCTCCTATGTCGGCCATCTTAAAACCCTCCAGGTCTGGGTTCTTATGTCAGATTTCCACCGTGGTCTCCAAACCCCAGCGTTGGTTCACCACTCTCCACTTTGTGTGATACCATGCTGAGGCTGCACCGTTGCCTCTGCAACCTTTCTCCCACTTCTGGTTGGAGCAGATCCCTGGATTAGAGAGACACCAGGTGTCCTGTAGAATTAGGTTGTTGGTGGCGCTGATCTTGTTGGAACCTGTTGGATGTTAGGTCTGGGTACTACACGGACCAATTTTGACCAGTATGAGGCCACAGTTGGTATTATTTTCCTGTGGGACCTCAGCGAGTTCTCAGGATCTCAGTGAGTTCTTGCGAGCTCAGCACATGTGCAGTTCACTGTTGTCCAAAGCTATTGCCACAGTGGCCAAAATGGTGCATGACGTACCACCACTATAGTTCTTGTTCTGCTGGCCGACAGATCCGAGGGCTACCCAGACCTGCCCCGGGTGGAACCTGTAGAATGCATGTTGATTCAGTTCACCGAGACAGAAATGAGTTCATTCCCAGCTTGGCGTATTGTCAGTCCTTTCTATTGCCTTTGCCTCCTTATGCAAAATGGTGCCCAATTCAGCTCTGGGGGGATGATTGTGCTATAAAATCTACCCTGTTCTTTTAACTGCCTGTCTGGGATCTGCTGCTCTGTCTCTGCTCCTGGCCAAATCAAATGGACCAGCAGGACAGTCAGTTCTTTGTTTGGGTTCACCTCCCAAGCTCCCAGTGAAAGTCCTTTCCCACCTTGCTGCTTGCTGGTGGAGTTCTGGCTGCTGGTGGAGTTCAGATTGCCGTGCTGGAGTATCAGTCACTGCAACACCACACTGCTGTGCCCGCTGCTTTCCTGTGTCTGTCAATCTCCAGGTGCCCCTCTGTTGTTGTTCTGTCATTTCCTATTTCCTGAAATATGTCCTCTCTGCTTCATCCTGATTAAATATTTTTCCATCCATTTAAATGTGTCCTTATCCTATTCTGCCATCTTGATTCTCTTATTCCTGATTTGAAAGCTTACTACTGGGGATAGTGTTTTCATATGATGAGTTAAACCACTGCCTGTGATGTGGGCATTCATACGGATGCCTGTTCGAATCCCAATTGATCCACTTCTGATCATTCAGCTCTCTGTGAAAGGCAGCAGTGAATGTCCCAGTCTTTGGTATTCTGCAAATATATGGGGGACCCAGATGAAGCTCCTGGCTCCTGGACTCATTGTGGTTACTCAATGGAGTGAGCCAAATGGTTGAATATCTCTGTACTCTACCTTTCAAATAAGTCCTTTTTTTTTGTTAACATACTTCAACACTGCAGTAATCAAGGCAGTGTGATACTGGCCTAAGGATTAGACATTTTTTTTAAAAAAAAAAACAATGAAGGGACAGGCAGATATGAAAGTACCTCTTGAAATATCCACATTCTGCATCAAGGTACTGGGTTCATGTTTTGGCTCTGCTGTGGGTTACAGTTTCCTGTTAATGTACATCATGGGGAATAGTAGAAAACGAACGTGCCAGGTACTTGGGTCTCTGGGATCAGTGTGGGAACCCTGTTCTTTTTTGACTGGGTTAAACCCTGGCCAGTGCAGGCATCTGGACAATGCGCCGCTGAATGGAAGACCTCTCTTTCAGATAAAATAAGCTTGACTGTGAACGCAGACTCAGTTCCTTACACCATAAAATTAACAGCAGAGTGAACGTGTAAATATACTGGATTCATCCCACAGCAATTAGAAATAAACCAATTGGGGCTGACACTGTGGTTCAACAAGCTAATCCTCTACTACATCCCATATCAGCTCTGTGACCTGGCTACTCCACTTCCAACCCAGCTCCTTGCTTATGGCTTGGAAATGCAGCAGAGGATGATCCAAATCCTTGGGCCCCTGCACCCACATGGGAGAGCCAGAAGAGACTCCTGGTCCCTGGGCTTCAGATCAGCTTGGCTCTGGCCATTGCAGCCATTTGGGATGGCAGATGGAAGGCCTTCTTATTGTCATTTCTTCTCCCTGTAAATGTGCCTTCTAAACAAAAATAAGCAGATCTTAACAATAAGTAAATTAATCAATGTATGATATGCACATGGGTGAATTTTAAAAACATGTTTGTGTGCATAACTTATTTGAATTATAATGCATGCCTATTACAGAATGCTATAATAAGATTTATGTTTTATATAAGGGAGTAATGTTCATGGAGTAAGGGAATATTTCTTAAAACTAGAAAAAAGTCTTTACCAGCACAGTGAAACAATTCTAAGGAGATGTTTGCAAAATTAAGTTATGATGAGCCATATTCTAAAATTGTGGAAATTCAGAACATTTTGTAAGTTGGAATTCCTAGAAAAAAATAAAATCCAGTAGACATTTATTCATGAAATCTCAATGACATAAAGAGATGGCTAATTTTCATGTACTTTCTGAATTACAGGTAACCTGTGCATATTTTAATAATATCTTGTAAGAAACAATGTTAGAGCTATCAGTTAAAACCTCTTCACAGGCAACGGGACTCTACGATTTATGATTTTCTTCCTTTTCACAATGAAATTGCTTCTTGAAATCATGTTGACCACATCACCGTGTCAATATCAGATCTAGATTCTCCTGTAGAAACATGGAACTGATTCACAGGTTTTCTCTTGCACAAAAGTGTCTCTGGACTCAGGTTGACCATCTTCACTCTGACATAAACTTAACGATAGGATCCCCATATAGAAAAAACATATTCGCATAGCTTCATTTTTATTAATTAAATGGGGGAAAAGAAATACTGAGATGGACTCAATTAGATAGGACTTCCATGAAGCATCTTGAACAGAATGAAGTTCTTCATTTGCCATTTAACTTTCCTCCTTGACAGAGATAATGATGGTTCTTGAATATGTGTAGGAAAAGGATTTCCATCTGCCATGAGCCTGAGGTAAGTTGGATGTCAGCAAATTGATAACTAGCATGTTCTAAAATGAAGAACCGTTAAGATTTCGGACAGCATTCTGGAAAGAATTATACAGGAATATTCCTGTCATTTTAAAATCAAACTATGTGCTTTTGTAAGTTTTAGCTTCCTTTTCCTTCTCTCCCTTCCCCCTTCCATCCTTATTTCTCCCTTCTTTCCACTTCTCCCTCCTTCTCTCCCTCTCCTCTTATCCTTTTCCTTCCTTCCTTCCTTCCTTCCTTCCTTCCTTCCTTCCTTCCTTCCTTCCTTCCTTCCTTCCTTCCTTCCTTCTTTCCTTCCTTCCTTCCTTCCTTCTTTCCTTCCTCTCTCCCTCCCTTCTTCCTTTCCTTCCTTCCTCTTTCCCTTCCTCCCTCCTTCTTTCCTTCCTCTTTCCCTTCCTCCCTCCCTCCCTCTCTCCCATCCTCCCATCCTCCCTCCCTCCCATCCTCCCATCCTCCCTCCCTCTCTTCCTTCCTTCCTTCCTTCTTTCCTTCCTTCCTTCCTTCCTTCCTTCCTTCCTTCCTTCCTTCCTTCCTTCCTTCCTTCCCTCCTTCCATTTTTGTTTCTGTATGTTGAAAGACAAACACAGCACTATATGAATTAATAGTCTCTAAGGTACAGGTTGATCATATAGAGTTAGTTTTCTACTCAAGCTAAACTGCATTACTATGAAGTATAGTGTTGCATATCTAACAGCTTTTAAAAAGATTTCTTTAGCTTAGAGAAAGAGAGCTGCTGGCTTACTTCCCAGATATATCCAGAGGCTGGGTCTGGGCCAGGTCAAAGTCAGGTGTCTGGTCCTCCATCTAGGTCTCTCTAGTAGATTTCAAGGAGTCAAGTATTGGAGACCGTCATCTGCTCCTTCTAGGGTGTACATTAGCAGGAAGCTTGAGTTGGAAGTTTAAGCAGGACTCAAACCTGAATACTCCAGAATGAGATGTGAGTATTTCAGCTGGAGGCTTAACTGTTGCAATTTTGCCTGCCCCATATCCATGTTAATTTTATCTGGTCTAAGTAAGAAAACTGTTCTTGTGTGTTGGGCCTGTGTTCTTTGTCTTCACAGTATTCAGAGGTGAATTAAGAATAGGACCTTGGGGGAGTGCTATAGTGCATCTCCTCTTCCTGGCCAGCTCCTTGCTGATATGTTTCAGAAACCAGCAGAGGATTCCTCAAGTGCTGTGTCCCTGCATCTACATGAAAGAACAGGAGTAAGCTCCAGATTCCTCCCAGTTCTGATTGCTATATTCGTTTGGGGAGTGAACCAGAGGATGGAAGATCTTTCTATGTGTCCCCCTTCACTCCTCTGTTACTCTCTGCCTTTCAAATAAGTAAATACATCTTTATAAAGGGAATGAGACTCACAAGCATGAATGTGTGGAATGTTTTTCTTTGCCTTTAACCAGAATGACATATATAGATAAAATATATGTATAATTGGTTATAGGTTGAACATTTCAAAAAGCAATATTAGCTTTCTATTTTACTACTTTCCAAACTTTATTGGAAGATGGTTAGTTATCATTTAGTATCTGTAATAGATTTTCTATATCACAAGTCCTTTGGAATGACATCTAATTCCCATGTTTTAAAAGGTAAGAAATTTGGCAGAGTAAACAAAGATGCAGCCTCTCATTGATAAGAGAAAGTGGAAAATCAGGATAATTTTATCTTCCTAATTAATATGATCAGATTAATTAAAAATAGAATTTATTAAAGGAAAGCTGCTTGCAAATTAAGATGGGGAATAAACCAAGCTATATTTATGGAAGGGTAAATAAATTGATGAGGGTGGGATGCAGACTGTGGTGATGAGTAACAGGAAGTAGGGTTGAGAAACTAGATAGCGCTACATTGTTACAGGAAATGAATATTGTGTTGCAACATCAGGCTCTTGTGCTGTATGTGTGATATGAAGAAAAGGAGGACCAAGAATTCTGAAGCTGGATCTGTCCATTAGAGATTAAGCAGTGGTTGTGATTGAAGCAGAAAATGAGTTTATTGTGGAAGGTTTGTGACATCTTTCCCAACTACCCAGTTGTGCCAAAATCTTGATTTCTGAAGGCACTAAAGTTCTACAAGTTGACATCTTAAAATCTGTCCTCCCAAGTTTTGAGACTCAATGATGATTCCATATCCTTATACCTGGTAATAACCCCAACAGAAATTTTTGTTTTCAAGACATTGTCTGCTGAATGAAACAGACCTGAGTTAGAAATTATCATCAGTTGACGAGAGAACCATGCCATGTAATGACAGTAAGTGCAGTGTTTCCAATTACTTACAGTCACACTTTAGAGATGACACTATTTATGTGTAAACTCTTATCAAATAGGTTTCATGTTGGAAATGACTAGCTTCTAATTCTCCAAAGGAGATGTGCAATACTCACTGCATTTTTATCTTCTTGCACTTCTTGTCCAGCGTGTCACTTTAATTGACACCAGTAACTCCAAGAGTGTGAATAACAACAAATACTCTGAAAGGAGTTTACCACATGTCTGCATCCAAAAATAAATGCACGTTACTTACAAATATCTAGAGCTCAGGACTTTAACAAAAACATCATAAAAACATAGAACAAAGAAAAGTAGAGTAGAAAAACTACTCCCTACACCCTCTACTCTCAACAATTGAATATTTTAAAATATTTTCCTTGATCATAATGTTAATAACTGATAATCTTGAAGGTGGTAACTGAAAAATTTCAAGTAGATAACTAGAATGAGAACAACTTATTGTGTATTGCTTCCCTTTTTGTGGGGGCACTGTGGATAAGATCATCAAATGTTTACTGAGAACTATGAATCCCTAAGAGAAGGTAGAATTGAGATACTGATGCATTTCAGAATGATAGAACTTATTTTTAAGGTAAGTACATAAAATTTGCCTTGTTATTAGGAAAGGACTCTAAGGAGAACTTAACAATGAAGGCAAACAAAGTTTGAATCTGTACTCTGAGTTTGACACCAGGGTGTCGGTATCCAAGGCATGACTCTTGGTTTCTGATATTGTGACTCTTGACTCTAAGCCAACGTTCACTCCTAGCCTCATAAGATAGTTGGACTGGAAACAAAAATACAGAATTAGGCAATAATGGAAGCCTTCCCTCTTCAGTACCTGAAGTGTTTCTGTGACAAGGCCACCATGGGCTGTTCGGATCAATATCCAGTAACAACACCTTTTAATGGCAACTGTGGCAACAGAAAGTATGGGCATGCTAATGGACTGCTAAGATGCTCTAGGAGTCTATCATCCAAGGGTTTGTGGATGGTATTGAACCTCTGTTGCTTAAAGGCCTTGAAATCAACCTGTAAAGGGCATCAAGAGGATCCCCTCAGTTTCTTGCTCATATGAGCATTGGCAGCTTTAGGGATGCACTGGACAAATGAATAGTTAATACCATAATTACATGATTGTCCAACAAAATTAGTTGTAACTATCATGAAAATAGGATCTTCAGTGATATTATGATGTTTGTTTTATATAGTTTATTTGTTATGCCATTTTAAGATATCTATCAGTCACAAAATTTTAGCATTCCTTAAAGCACTAAAATGGTCCTTAGCTGTACCACTGGCTGGATTTCTGTTATGTTTTAATTTTGTGTGGTAGAATCATGTGCAATGTAGATAATCCTCATGAGAGGAAGTTCTATGCCAGTGAATCACTCTGTGATTCCCAAACAAGTTACTTAACATTTGTAAACCTGCTTCTTTATTCAATCATGGATATAATTCCCTGAGGAAGTTTGTAGTGCCACTCACCATAAAAATCAGTATTGAAGCTACAAAGAAATAAGAATAATCCTGCACAAACGCAATCTGCTTTGGGACTAGCTAAGTGACTAAAATGTATGGGTTCTGAATTAAACAGCTTTTTGGTTTTGGCCAGGCACTTAAAAAACAGGCAAGTTCCAAGGAGATTTAATTCAGAGAAGTTGGTTTATAGGTTTTGATCTCTGTCAAGTGCTGGGCAGGTAAAATAGTGGAATGATAGGAATCCAGTGGCCCTGGTGGTTTTAATTGCCATACCAATCTGCCTAACACCAACTGCCACTTCCTAGCACTCCTAGCACCGTATTTCCATGGCAGTAGCTCTATATAGGTATGTGCACATACAGTTAAGTGTGTCTATATCCAAGAACCACCTGAGCAGAAACTGATACAGAAGCACATGCGTGGACATGCATCTGTCTGCTTAGGCAGATCTGTTGACAGACTGAAATACAAATTAGGCAGTGCAGAACTCTGTGTTACACATAGTATACTATATACACATAGAAAACAAAGTATGTAGGCATTACAAAGTACAAACCCATACAGAGTTCAACTTTATTTTGTCCATCCTGATGGACTGATATTTAATATAAATATTAAATATCACGACTGATATTTAATATAAATCACGGAGATACAAAAGTTTCCCAAGCCTTGCTTAATTTTTTAAGGTAGGTCCAGGATTAAATACAGTGTTTTCTGACACAAAGGACACAAAGTATCAATGCTTATAATACTTACTCTTTAGTTACTTGAGGTTTTGGGGAGTCCTAGGTTTAGAACATAACTTGTGTCTTGAATCACATTTGTAATAGGTGAACATTTCAAAGGGTAAGTTAACGAGGAGGGTCATTTGTATGACTTGCATGATACTTAAATACCTTGATCACTCTCCAAAGAATTTAATACATAATTTTAAAATTATGAAGAAATTATCACAGACACATGATACTTACATGTACCCAAAGATGTCTTCTTACACCAAAACTAACCAAAAAAAGCTCGAATACAATTATCAGCACACCGATAGATGCAACAATAGCACTGATGATGTGCGTTGCTATTGCGTAAGTCAACTGTAACAATAAAAGGCATTTGGTTATGGATGAATGCCTCACTAGTAGCTACATTCACATAGAACAATCACACAAATTCTGATCTTCCTAGAATATTAACACAATTCACGAGACTGAACTACAGATTTTTCAGGTTGTTAAAAAAAACAAAAATTTTGGAGACACTAATTCTAGCATGAATGTCCTTATTTCTTCACAGACTGCCTATTCTGTCTTATGGAGAGCATGGTCTATTTTAGCAGCTAAAGAGGCAGAGAAAAATAACCTTAAGAAAGTCTCGGACTATGGAAGAAGACAGATGAATACAGATTAAACATGAATAGACTGTGAAAAGTGCTGGCAATATAGGAAAATCCACAATATTGCAAAGTTTCAGATTATCAGAAAAATAAGTCCAATTTACTGGTATGGTTCATTTTGGAGCAGGTGCATGAGTGGTGGGGAATCTTCTTGTAAAGACTTATGCTATCTAGCCAGACTTTAAGATTTTATTTTGAAAATGGTGGAGAACTGTCTAGCAGGAGGTGCTGACTCTGCTTTCATACCACACACTTACTATACTATCTACTCTAGATAATACATATTTGTATAACGTTGTAGAATTGAACTTTGTCCATATTTATTTGATCAGTGATAAGTCATGGGATGATTGTTACTGAGGAGATTCTTCTGGTAGTTATTCCTTGTTTGATTTTGTATTAACACATTTTTAAAAATCTGAGTTATCTTAAACTAACTGGATTCTAAAATCAATTTTATAAAAAAGTATACATTCACCTAAAACACTACTACATGTTGTACACTAATATTAATTGATTTATTCTGTTGGAACAAATACCCCTTAGTGAAAGCAAAACAAATGAAACAAATACTAATTAATTCTTTTTATAACATCAATATGCAACATTTTTATGTAATAAATTATAGTATTGTAATTCTATGTTTAAAATAAAGTATTTGGTGAATTTTCAGTTATTTGGACAAATGATTATGCCAAAAACCATTAAATGGGTTTCATGTTCCCTCTGAAATCATTTAATTGAATATTAAGGGCTTATTTTTTGTTCTAAAGGCTTATGTTTCTGATATTAAGCTAATAGCACCCTGCTTTGAATACTGCAGCACTGTAGTAAGTTTTAAAGTCAGGAAGGAATCTGTGAGAATACATGCCTTCAAACTTGAGTTTTAATTTCTTGTTTACTTAGAGTCTCAAAGTCAGCCAGAAGTGATTGAGTGTGTTCTTCGTATTTCTCAAGATTTGCATAGGGTAGCCTTTTACGTATGTTAAGCTCTTTCTTTTTAAGATGATCTAGACTTGCGGAACTGAACATTTTTATGGGGAACAGTACACTATCTCTACGCACATGTATACAATGTAAACCCATAAATTCATACAATTAGCGTTTTATTATCTTTATGTTTGTAACCCATCAGCTTCTCTCTTCCAATTTTTATACCGTATAAATACATTTTTATGAAAAATGGTTGCCTACCTGTGCTATTGAACATTAGCACCTGTTATTCTATATAATTATTATTTTTAAAAATTTATTTTGAATATTTGAATTTTGTGGTACAATTTCGTGTAGACTGGGATTCCCCCTCAAATTCTCACCCCCAACAGATTTTCCCCATGTTGCTACAATAGTATAGTCCTCCTTATGGAGTCATAATTCCATCAGTCTCTTATTTAAGTGTGCCCCAATATATATAATTATTTTGATACCCGTTATTCAGCATCTTTCTATGTTCTCTTGTCTCACGCCTCTCTAACAACCATGAGTCTAAGACGAAGATCTGATCAATGTTTTTTTTTTTTTTTAATTTTCACATGAAGGAGAATATGCAGTAACAGTCTTCCTGTTAGGGACTGTTTCACTTAACATGAATATCTTTGGTCCATCCATGTTGTTGAAAATGTCATGGTCACATACTTTTGTACACTTTAATATTATTCCATTATACGTACATATATGTGCATATATATGTCACATTTTCTTTACTTTGAATAATTTTAGATCTCCAAGAACATTTCAGAACTCTTCGAAGCTTTTTATGATTGTCTAGTTAAATTCCTTTGAAATTTCCGGTTTGGTCTTCCCTGAATCCATAGCTCCTGCAGCCATTCTATTGCCAGATTGATAGTGTATAAGCCACCTAGTTCTGTGGCTTTTTTAAAAAATTGAAATTGTGTCAAAGCAATAGTTACATATCTTAGAATCAGAGAGCTTTCAGTTCACAAAGTAGTGAGCTGTGCTCAGAGGATGTTGCTTTTATGCCTTATATAGGGGACCTGGGATAGGTGGAAGGTTGGGTGGGGCTTCTCCCTTTATCTCCTCCCTTACCTCAAATACAGAAAAAAGTAATAATTTGGAAACAATAGTCTTACCCACTTTCCTGTAGCCCGTGACCCTCTGTGCCATGGCCAACTATGTAAAGATCATCAAATAAAATAATTACCAAAAAAAAAAAAAAAAAGAGAGAGAAGATGTTGCTTTTAACAGAGCATCAAGTGATCTCAATCCTACCTGTTTTATTCTTCCTCTCTCTCCGTAACTTTGATTTTCAAATAAACAAATCAATCTTTAAAAATGGAAGAAAAGGGGGGCCCACGTCATGGTATAGCAGATAAAGTTGCCATATGGACATCTGTGCTCCAGCTGCCCCCTCCTGATGATCTGGGAAAAGCAGCAGAGGGTGGACAAAGTACTCGGGCCCATGTGGGAGAACCGCATGCAGCTTCTGGCTCCTTAGTTCTGGCCACTGTGGCCAGAGAATGGAATATGCATATCTCTGTTTCTCCCTCTCTGTAATTCTTTCAAATAAAAATTTTAAAAGTCTTTTACAAAACTGATGTAAGTCCTCTGAGTTGACTGTCATACATATTTCAGGCTTTTCATGGAACTCGTGTTGAGTAGCTGGAGAGCCTCTAATGAAAACATCTCTGAACTCTTGCATTTTTCTGAGGCTTTAGTCATATTTTTCTGTGTATTTTATGCATTTTGGTGTCCTGGAAATTACTATTAGTTGTTTTGCTAGTATGCTCTCCAGTTTTCTGTTCATGAGTTAACAGAATCCCTTACTCTGTCATTTCAGAAGTTTGTCTCCTTGCATTAAAGTAAATCAGAATAATCTAAACTCTGTTAACACCTCACATGCAACGTCTATCACACAATTAAAAGTTCCTTAGAAGTGAAGTGGCAAAAAGGGCATTTGGTCATTTCAAAAAAGTCACATCTGCGTGTCAAATCTGCCATTTTAATTGTAGAATTTATTAATCAAAATATAACTTCTTGATCAACCTTATACATTAGAATTGTTATTTTTAATTTTAAAGTCTCCTATCTTTTAAAAAATATTTATTATTATTATTTCTTTATTTGGAAGGTAGTTACAGAGGCAGTGGAGAGACAGAACGAGATCTGCCATCCGGTGGCTCACTCTTCAGGGGGCTGCAAAGGCCAGACCCAGGCTGATCCATAGTTGGAACCAGGAGCTTCTTCCTGGTCTCCTGCGTGGAGGACTAGGGCTATCCTCCCTTGGGGGCTGGATTGGAACTGGAGCCCCTAAGGATGCCAATGCCATAGGTGGAAGTGGCTTCTATTTGAATTATTTTTATTAATGAAACATGAAAGTTCAGTCGTGGTGGTATAGCCTTTTAAGGGGGATGAGAAGGTGAAATAGCAACTTATGTTCCTTGTATTTTTAAAGTCCATCCTTTAAAATTTTGGGATATATTTCTGGTGACACAAACCACAATGCTGCCTTCTTACTTTTATTCAGCAAATCCAGTTCTAGGGCAGCTATAAGCATTCTGACTTACCACTATTCTTGAACCAGTCCTCTCTGCTAACACTGCAAAGAATCCTGAAACACTAAACTAAAAAAACAGAGAACACTTTCATTAGCATTGAGTCATACTTTTTCAGTACAAACACATTAATAATAAGAGAGTTCTGAAATACTGAAATGTAAAAAAAAAATACCATCTTATTTCTTTACTGAGATTGTTGGGAATAACAACCAGGGAACTTGCAAGCTTTATAGAGATGGAAGAAATCCATCCATGAAACCTTTGGCCACTAATGCATGCCATCTGCTGGGAATGGAGTTTTTGGAACATCTTGAAGTTACTTTGTGGAAGAATGAGCTTGGATAGAAAATTCACCTAGTTTTTGTTGACCATAATTTTTTGAGCCCATAGGGTAAACTACAAGATGATATAGTCGATGATTTAATGTTCAAATAGTTTTCATACATTAAAATATCTTATTTATGGGAAAATATTATTGAGAAAATGTTCAAGCTTCAGCTCACTCATTTAGATGTAAGGATCACAAGATATATCTTCCATGAGCAATTAATTTTAAGAAGTTTCATCATTTTCTGACCCCTAGTAGAAAGATGGAAGTTGAAGCATATCAGAAATTAATTTTTTTCTCATCGGCTTAGCTTTAAAAAATACATTTATTTATGTGAGATCAGGGGAGGGTATGAAAAGGGAGCAAGGGAGAGAGGCAAAAAGATAGGGAAGCATGGAGAGGGAGATTGTATCTTCCCCAGAGGCCCACAATGATGAGGATAGGACCTGGGAAGAAACGGGCACTGGAAAAATGTAATCCAGGTCTCCCTTGTGGGTGACAAGAACCCAGTTACTTTAGCTACTCCCATTGTCTCCAGGATCTGCATTAGCAGGATGTGGAGCCAGGTACTGAGAGCAGTGCTCTCCTATGAGGTGCTGGCATATTCCCTTCTAGGCTACATGCCTGCTTCCCAGTGGTGCAGTATTCTTTTCTCAGAAGAGTGGACACAGTGACATGTCAATGCTAAGTAACGTTTTGGAGCCAGAGGGTTTGCGTTCCTTTCACTTTGCTTTCTCTGCTGCCGTCTTACTTTGCTTTTTGACTGGTACAGCAGCTGTTCATATTGTCTACAGCATTCTGTTACTCTAGTGTGTTGTAGCAGTTACGCATGTGCATTATTTGCGTTAAATCTGTCACTTCCACCTTAGCTAAGACTTTAACTACATTTTCCAAAATAGTGTACAGCTCCTGATTAAAACTGGACAGAGTAAAACCTTGGGTGGTAGTTGGGAGGCCAGAAGGGGAAGCAAAAATTGCTACTGTCGTGAGGACATAGTGATCAGACATGGTGACTATGACTCCATTTGTTAATCTGTTCTTCTTCCTGTGTCTTCCAGAGGCAATATTTGAGTTTTCTCTATGGACTTATTAGACTGAATTACACTTTCAACTCATCCATCCGTACTAGCACTTTAAGGCAACAGCAGAAATGTTTATTGACTGTCTTTAGGATTCTCTAACTCTCCTTTCCTTATTTCCTCTTCCCTAGAAACACATTTTGTAGGCTATAATTCTCATATTCCTGTAAGTCTTACATGCTTTCTTTACAAAAATCCGAAATTGATTGAAACCAGGGCTTTGTAACCAGGTCCAAAATTCAGACAAACAACAGGCATTACAGATTTTTAGTGCTTTCTGTTGTAAAGTCTACTTCAGTGTATGTTACTTAAGATCTTTCCTAGAACTCTGAAATGATTTCTACCATTTTCCAGGTACTTATAGGAACTATTCTACAGCAGCCAAACAATACTGTTTTTCCTTAGAATCTTGGCCTTTCTTCTGTTGCTTTCTTCATCAAAAAAAAAAAAAAAAAAGCCTGCTCCCAAAATAAAAGGCTTAAAAGCCTAAAAACCAACAGAAAAACCTCCTACCAGAACAATGTTTCCAATTTTAATCATGATTATAAACAAACTGCTATAGCTATTGACTTTATGTTGTTAAGGCTTTTCCATGAAGTACAAAATGAGTACATGTACCTAATTTCCACCTGCTGCTCTGCTTCAGATGAAAAATTCATTTAAGAATTTTTAAGCAATAATAACTTAAACACATTTTTATAGTTAAATCATAAGTTGTCTCAAATGTTTCCTAAATTTATAAAGGGCTCTAAAAGAGGATTTAGGAAACAGACCAGTTCATGTGCACAAGGAAAATCTTGATTCCTCTTGAAGATAAACTATTTGTAATACTTCCATTTTCTCTATTAGTACTTCTAATCTTGTCAGTCCTGGCTGATGTTTTGCAAGACAAACATGGTCTCATGTGACAAGGATGTCCTGAAACTTGTAGCTTGAAATCACTCCTCAAGAAATTCCAATCATCTTTTTCTCCCATGTAGTTTATAGTCTTCTAATACATTACTCTTTGTTGGCATAAATGCTCCATAGGGCCTAAGATCTTTGTTTTGTTCATTGATGTGTACCAGGCACTCAGAACAGCACCTAACATATGGTGAACATGTAATAAACATTGGATAAGTGCTCAAGTTTCAAATATATCATTACTGCAATGGCTTCACTAGGGCTTTTGTCAATGACAAGGGCATACATTTGCTACCTTTTCCTTTATTATATCCTCTTTTAAGGACATTAGAACTTCATTCTTTCTGTCAGACACAATAAAGGCTAATTTTGAAATCTATGTTGAAAATTTCAGATTTTTCTTGGACTAACAGAACAAAATCATTTAAGTTCATTTCCCCCTTTACATGTTCTACATATCCCAGTATTTCATCAACAGTTAGACTTCTTTGTCTTGTTTCAGTAATAAATTATGCCATGAAGATAATTGAATAATAATCAACAATTTTCTGTTTCTGCAGAAAGTTACTTACGCATCTCACCGTTGTTTCCTGTATCTAAGTAGAACATGGAAGAAAGTCCTTAGAAAATTAGACTCTTAGCCCCGGCACAATGGCTCAATGGCTACTTTCTCACTTTGCAAGTGCCAGGATCTTATATGGGTGTCAGTTTGTGTCCTGGCTGCTCCACTTTCCAACCAGTTCCCTGTTTACAGTCTGGCGTAGCAGTAGAGGATGACCCAAAGCTTTGAGACTCTACATCCACTTAGGAGACTCAGAAAAGCTCTTGGCTTCTGGCTTTGGATTGACTCAATTCCAGCCATAGTAGCTATTTGAGGAGTAAACAGGCAGATGGAAGCTCTTTCTTTCTGTCTTCTCTCTAAATCTGATCTGCCTTTCCAATACAAATAAATATTTTAAAACAATAGAATCTTAGGTGAAAGATTATTGTGAATCTAAGATTTCTTATATTAGTAGAGTCCATTTTAACTAAATGTAACAGTGAGTTCCTTTAGAATAAGGACAGTGCATTGTTAGTGTTTCTCTTCCTTTTTTTTTTTTTCCCTAAAAAAGACTTATTTGAAAGAGTGACCAAGAAGGAACACATGCAAATTTTCCAGCCTCTGTTTCATTCTCTAAATGCTCACAACAGCCAAGTCTGGGCCAGGCCAAAGCCTGGAACCATGGACTCCAACCTGGTCTCCCACATATGTGTTACCTATAGTAGCATCTTCTAGAGACTTCCCAAGCATATTAGCAGAAAGCTTGATTGAAAGAAGTACAGCATCGACTCAACCGGCCCTTCAGTTTGGGAAACTGGTATCACAGCAGCTAGTTAATCAACCGTGCCACGATGCTTGCTTAGAAATAATAGTTAAATATAATAAATAATTAATTATTGAATAACAGAGTAGATGGTATACTCACAATACAAGCTGACCAAAAGGGGTATCCTAGTAATGTTGTTATAGGAAGAAATGATGCTTCAAATACCATCAATTGTGAGACCAATAAATTCACCCAGAGCAATCCCAAGCAGTGAAGACTGATACCAGTCATCATTTGTATGGCCTGGAAGAAAAAATATCATTAATCATTTGCAATTCTAAGATATCCTTGACAGAAACATACTTCAAGAAAAACAAAGTTGGAGAAAGAGTTAACAGTATTTCAGGGTTCCCTACATTCAATGGAAATGAATAGATCTTAATATTTCAGGGTCACTGCAGATACAGGAGTCCAATCCTGGCGCTTATATCATGGTTAGAGTGGCGAGAACACTGTACCATGCTTTGGTTCTTGCATGGAGTCTTCCCAAAATAAAGGAGCTTTCATCGTCCCTGGGTTTGGGAGCTGCCATGCAATTGTCTTGGCTACAAGGTGTGCCAACCAATTTACTTTGACTCTGTTTTCTGTGGGATATTTCCACTACTGTTTGTGAAAACATGATCAAGGATAGCAGCCTGTCAGGATCCTGGTGATATTTAATAGGAAATCCGCTAGAAATGAGAAAGTGTCTCTCATTCCAACGGGCAAGCAACATGAGGCATATTTAAGAGTTGTTTAGATGTTAATCGACTTTCTCCTTGCTCAGCTTGAGAGCTCTAGTGCTGCCCTCAAGCTGCCCTCATCCCTGCCGTTTAGACATTTATACCTAGAGGAGGAAGAGAATTAATGCTTCATTCTAGGGTTTAAATTGCATATCTTGCTCAGTGGGTTCCTTGTTCCAGGGCTTGCTTCTTTAATTCTTCTCTCATTCTTCTAATCTCATCCATCCCCATCTTACATGACATGAAACTTTCACAAACCTTCTACAACATACTTATACCTTCATTTCCTCAATCCAACTGTTTTTTTTTTTGCATCAAAATCCTTTCTTAAACTTACTTCATCACAAATACATTCCCATGTTTAAAAGTTCCTTCACAGCTTTGTTCCGTTAACTACAGAGTTGGTTCTCAAACTTTGTGGTTTTGTAGCCCTATTAGGAAGTAGAGAAGAGCCTTACTGCTTTGTGATATCTCCTCAGTAGGGATAAAAAACATTTGTCCATATATTGAGAAACAATGGCCTGAAGATGGGTGTATTTTAGGTTTCTATACAAGGACTATTGAAAGAAATGTAGCCTAGTATGGCAGCTGTAGATCATTCTTGCCCTGGGTTAACTATGTCTGTGGATTGATTTCTGTCTCAACCAAGGAAGGCACAGAGTCTGTCCTGGGGCTATAATGATGATGGCTCCTATTTAAGCCATGCTTCCCTCCACAGAGGAATTGGGCTCTAACATGTGATTACACAGTCATGAGCGAAAAGCACATTCCTACAGATACAATGAAAAGGCCAAGAGAAGCACCTAATCAACATACCTCTCATGGTTGTCCAGAGGAGAAAAGGCCCAGACTTGAGGAAAGGCCTGAATATGTGGCTCCAACGTCTTGGAGGAAGTCTATCTCCCTCCTTTTACCACTAAGATTACTTTGGATTCCTAGATGTCAATGGAAGTCCAGGATGGGGCTGAGCTAGGGGAGTACTAGGGCCCTTCAGCACATTGCACCCATTTTTGGGAAGGGATCTGGACCAAGGGTCCCTAACCTTCAGGGACAGTGTGTTTGTCAGTGATCTCCTTCACAGATAGGACAAGGCTGTGGAGGCCTTTCCTTCATATGAGGGGATTCTTTTTTGAAGTGCCTTAGTTGCCCACAACCAAAGCATTTGGGAGCCACCTGGGAATCTCATCATCGGTACAGCTGGCAGCCATTGGTGCCCCTAGCTTTTTCTCTCTTCCCGCATTGTTGTTTGTTTTCCTGATCGTGACTTTAAAACTTCAAAGTGGTGATCGTTGGGAGACTATCTAGGGAAGTTTCAGGTCCTGTAGCTAACTTTTGAAGCGTTCTTTTAATAATCTGAAACATACTGAGTGATGAATTGACTTTTTGTTTTTTTCTTTCCAGGATTCCAATTTTATACATGCTAGATATATTATGGTCTCACATATCCCTGGAGGTCTGTTACTTTACTTTTGTTGTCCAAATTGGACAATTTTATTTCTTCTACCTTTGGCTCCATTGATTCTTCTGTGTTTCCTGTACTGTACATTCAAGGTTACTATTGGTAAGTAATGCTTGGTCCTGCCATTTTTTTTTTTTTTGCAAGAAATCCTATTTTGTGTTTCACATTTTGGTTGTATTTTTTATTTGGAGATTTTTTTTTTTGCCTTCACATTCTCTCATGATGCTGTCTATATGAGAACGGATTAATATCCAGGACCTATAAAGAGCTCAAGAAAAATCAGTAACAACAAAAGAAGCAATCATTTTTCAAAGGATAAAATACAAATGGCATACACCTGAAAAGATGCTTAGCATCACTAGTCATTAGGAAAATGCAAATAAAAACCGCAATGAGATTTCACCCGATTCCAGTTAGAATGGTTATCCTCCAAAAATAAAAAATATAGCAAATGCTGGTGAGGGATAGGGAAAATGGTATCCACCCTAGTGCACCTTTGATGGGAATGTAAACCTGTTCACCATTACGGATAACAGTATGGAGAGTTCTTAGAAATCTGAAAATAGATCTATCTACCTTATGGCCCAGCCATTCCACTCCTGGGAATTTATCCGAAGAAAATGAAATAAGCATGTGAAAATTTATCTGGGGCTAGCCTGATAAGCTAATTCTCTGCCAGCAGCACTGGCACAACATGGGGACTACTTCTATCTGTACTGCTCCATTTCCAATCCAGTTCACTGCTTATGATTAAGATGTTGGTTTCTAAGGGCTATGGGGTGACAATGTGAGGGGTTATTGTTGACTAGGTAAGGGTTTGTTTTACAAGAAGGTAGACATCCTGGGAATGGATGGTGGAGATCATAGCACAACAGTATAGATGCACTCACTGCACACTTTATGAATTTTTCCCATAAATGTAAAATGATATTATTTAAAAATGCCATTTGTTTGAATATTTTCTAATTCAGTGCTGAAAGGGCATGGAGGCATAGCTTTGCTATGCCTAGGTGGTAGTGGAAAATTACATTCCTTATCTGCCTGCAGCTGACATATAGAGGAGAGTGGTGACAGTATATGCCTGAGTGGGGATGGACATTCAAGATCCTTGGGGAAGGGAAGGGATACCTTGGGACAGCCAAGTAGAGATCTAGGATTCTGGATGTACTTTGATTGTGGAGGTGGAGAGGGGCAATAGTATTCCTTTCTATTTGTCCAGGGTATGACAGCTACTATCCAGATGGTTTATGCATTTCTAGGATGCCCTTTTCCTAGGTCTTACTGGTTACAATGAGCTTTCCTTGGGGGCTCTTTTTCTTGATAAAGTTTTGGGATTGCTAGCTTCTTGAGTACTAAGTTTGAGAAAAAAGCAATAAAAAGAAAACCCAGGAATCTTACGTCATTATATGTCATTCTTTGAGTTTCACATTCCTCAGGGCTTTTTCTTTGTCTTTACTTTCCAAAATCACCTTCTTCCTCCCTCCACTCTCTATGTAAGGACTTTTTCTCATCAATTTTCATATAATATTAATTCAAAGAGAATAAATTAAATGTAGTTCAGGAACACAGTTCTACAACGATGATGATACTTATCCAGTTTAGTGTTAATTAATGTTAGAATTACAGAGCAGTGAATCTACTCTATCTTGTCAGGATATTTATTGGATAATTCCCAAATCGGATGCCAATTTGCATGATGTAAGATATCACTATAAAGAGAGTAATGATTTATTTGCCTTCAGGTATCACTTCCACTATTCCTCGCAAATTACCAGGACACATAGGTGGATAAAGAGCTTAAGAATTCAGATCTTCAGCATTGTAACATTGGGAATGAAGAGAGGAAATCCTGGGCTCTTTGCTTGATTGATATAAATCTCTTATTACAATTGTGGCAGAGGATTATGTAGATCTCAACTAAATATGGGGAATAATATATCTGAAATGTTGAAAATTTTTCTTGAAATTTGATCTTGCTGGTGTGACTCCCAATAATCTCACAGCAGCATCCAACACAATGGGTGGATAATGCAACAAAATAAGTGGACACATGCCATACTAGTGGATTGGCTGATAAAATAGTGGTGTGGAAAGCATTGTCCTTTCTTGGTCACTGTCCACCCAGCTCTATGGTCTGTAGCTTCTGAATGTGGCCTCCATAATCTGACACTCTCATTTAGGATCATGTCATTATCAGCTTAGATTGAAATCATTTCTTGATGTGAAAGAGATTTTTTTTCTGTTAATTTCCAGACTCAGGGGATATTTTCTGAGGTTATGAGTAGGCTGTGATGGTGCCAGTTGCATGATTTTTGATTTATGATATACTCTGTGTGTGTGTGTGTGTGTGTGTGTGTGTGTGTGTGTGTGTGAACCACAGATGCCATGTGACCATTTCAGGACATTTTGTTGACTCTCCTGCATTCGAGGAGTTCATAATAGAGGTAGTTAGAGTCTTCCCTTATAACAAGGTAGCCATTATTCACTCAAGTAATATTTAGTTCTTACCCCCAACATTCTTGTTTCCTCTCGTAGCTCCATGCCGGATGTTGGGGCTAGGCCTTGGATTGAATCTTGGGGCATGTCTCACTAAAATACTGTAGAAAAATAAGACAATGAATGTTTTTCATTTGTATAGGAAAACATAGAAGTAAATAATGCTGGTTGCTATGCTTCAATTAGAATGTAGTGGCTGCCCCAATTCCACCAGCCCCTCTAAAAATTACCCATATCCCCACATTCACAAAATCAGAGAAAAAAGGGTCATAGTTTATTCTCTTCCTCATTATGGTTTTCTTCCAAATGAAAGTCTGGTTCAGGGATTCTTACTGGAAGAAATCATGTCACCTACCTACACTAGCTTAATAGATGGCTGGAAAACAAAGTTCTGTGTGTATTTCTTTGTAATGATGGGTTTCATAAGTTAGGGACCAACAAAACAGGAAGGATGTTTAATAGGCAAGAAAATGACAAAGCATCGATAGCTTTGATCAAAACTGTGACCACTTTTCCTTTTGTATAATTACATATCAATCTTGTACACTTCTTTTTCTGGAGAATTATTTCTTGATCTCTGATGACTGCAACAGATGTGAACATCTAACTCATGCTAGGGTCATGGTATTCTCTTTCCAAGACTTTTTGACTTGTCTCTGGGGATATATGGAAATGTTGGGGCTGTGACATTTGCCTGTTCTGACAGAGCAGCAGAGAAAGAATCTTTTGAGCTTGAGAACAGAAGGAGGATTCCTAGATAATTTTCTATGTAAAGGTTCTTCTAGATTTCTTGCTCACATCTTGAATTTACATTACGTAAATATACCTGTTTGTTACAGTAAGTATGCATCAGTGTTGCTAAAACTAGTAAGGGGTAATTTCTGTCTCTTCAACAAATTCTTGTTTAAACTACATTTACTTAATTTTTCTCACGGGGCTTTGATGATCTATTCTCCAATTCTCCAATATGTGATGGCTCTTCTTTTTCAGTTTCTTACCTTATAACTATATTTGAAGTTCTGATCTTGTTTACAAATTTTCCATCTGAACCCATAAGGCTTCAAGTGACCCTTGAAATAGCCTACTCACCCCGAAACTGAGGAAATAATAGAATGGAAAGAATCAAACTTGAGTTCAAATCTTACCAGTTACTAGATGACCTAGTCCATAATGTTGACTCGTGCAGAGCTTCTTTTCATGGCACCACAAACAAAAGTGATTGAGGAGCCCACAGAGGATTGAAACTCAAAGGGCCCAGGGCCATGGATGACTACACTGACTTGATCACGGGATCAGAAGGCTGTGTCTGTAGGTGGCGATCTTAGCTCCAGTTCCTGTGACCCCGGGAGGGCAACAATTTGCTGGTGGACACCGCTTCCTTGATGGTGCCCCTCATTCCCCCTTCAGGGTTCCAACGCGGTTGTGGCTAACAGCGCGGACGGCAAAGGGCGCCCCACGAGGAAACGCACGAGGATCCTGGCGCGGTGGGGGCCTCGGAACTTCGCTGAGCCTGCTAGGTCAGGGGTGCGTGGGGATGTGGAGCTGATTTTCCAGATGGCTGCTTCTGTGTCAAACAAAAGCGCTCCTCCTCATTTTTTTGTCAATTTCAACCTAAATGTCTCCTTGCTACAACAGAGGCAACTGTCTACACTGCCTCTTAGGCTCCTGGTATCACCTGCTTATTTCCTAGTGTTTATTTCCCAAACTTCTTTCCAATAATTGTTTAAAACTTACACATCATTTATGTCTTCATCTAGTCCTGTAAAAGTAGAGGTCTTGCATACAGAGCCTAAAACAAGACTGGATGCCCAGGTATATGCTAATTGAATATAAGGAACAAAAATGATTTCAGGACCTTTTTTTTTTTTTGGTCAAAATAGAGGTGATGTGGCTGGATAGTACTGAAAGTATGTCTAAAAATGTAATGTGAAACGAAAGTATGCCATTCTAAAAATAATATATTAAAAATAGGACACTGGGTGTGGAACACAGGCAGGAGGTTAGGGCTGCGTGAGATATATCACCATGCTCCTAAATCGGTATTGTGAAATGCATGGAACTTATTTTATAGAAATAAGTTTAAAAAGAACGTTATTATAAATTATAGGAAAAGTTAATCTAATAACGAAAACAGGTTGCTGCTTTCACTACCATATCTATTCGTTTGGATTTGCACCACTTTCCAGTTTTATACCTTATTTCATGTGGATGTATTTCTTTGAGCTTTCTCCAAGGGGAATGTTATTTGCATATACAGCATGCACTACCATCTCAATTATTACTCCAAAAGAACTAAGGAGCCAGTGTTGTTGTGGTGGAGCGCATAAAGCTACTGCCTGTGATACTGGCATTCCACAAAAGCACCAGTTAAAGTTTTGGCTGTTCCACTTACGACCTACCTCCCTGCTAATGGCCTGGGAAAAGCTGCAGATGGTCCAAGTGCTTGGCTCCCTGCCACTTAAATGCAGCTCCTAGACTCAGGCTTTAACCTGGCTCAGGGCTGGCCATTGCAGCCATCTGCAGATGGCAGATGTCTCTCTCTTTCATTCTCCCGCTATTTTTGTCATTCTTTGAAAAAAAAATATATATGTGTGTATATATATAAAGAGGCCCTCTACTGAATTCCTAGCCTTATATTTCCAATTTCCTGTCTCTACATGGGTTATTAAAAAGCACAGTAAGTAAAATATAACCTAATATGAACATGTCATTTGGCCATAAGGCTTTTTTTGGTCTCCATTGCTGTTAATTGAATTACCATCTAGCTAACTTCCCAATCCAGAATACTAGATTCACTTGTAAGTTTAACCAATTTTCATATCCTTTCATCTCCCATAGATGCAAATCAATTTGTTCCTGTTTGTCTCCTTTCTCTATTCTCATTGTATCATCTCTCAGGAAAATTCCAGGAATCAGGCAGCATATACATGCTTTTAGTATCAATGTCCTTAGTGTGAGCCTCTGCATTCTTGTAAATAACCTAATGTCTAATCATGATTCTACTAATTATATTATAGCACTCTGTCACACCAGGTTGAAATTCCAATTACCTTTGCATAACATTCAATAGTGTTATCATTTTCCTTTATCTACCTGTACAGCCTCATTTACTAGTTTCTCTCCATACATCCAGAGCTAATTCTACCTCGACAAGCTACTTGTTGAAGTATACGTAAGTTTGATCTTAGTCAGATCAAATCAAATTAACTTTGCAATATGAGATCATTTTTATTAAATCTTTGCATTTGAATGCATTTGGTAAAATTGGGAAAGCAGCTAGTAATTTTGCCAGACATTAAAATCAGTCTTTCTCTCTCTCTGTATGTGTGTGAAGCACTCATTTGTTTTTTATTTCCATTCATTTCAGAACTGAAAATCCTTTTGGCACATTGAGTTATTTACTGTCTCTGTTAAGTGCATATTGAATTTTTTTTTTTTTTTGGATTTTGGGAATCTTCCATGGCCACATATGTGACTATATAAATTTAACATGATTGGAACCTAATGTAGAAAGGAAAAAATGTAATAGAATTTTATTGGGGTGGGTGAGTTGGTTACTTAAAGAAGAATGGTTCTCCTGGGATCTACTGGTGTGTAGGGGTGGTTGTTGAAGGTGAGAGAAGTTACAAAGTGAATTAGTGGCATCTTGGGAGAAGTGACTTAATCATGACATGCACTTTGAGTTACTGTTATCAGAACTTGGGCCATCATTTGCTGCCTTCCAGGTGCATTAATAGGAAGCTGCATCCAAAGTGAGGAGTAGCTGGAACTTGAACAGGTACTGTAATATGGAATACAGGCCTCCCAGGCAGCAACGTAATCTGCTACAACATAAAGTCAATCCCCAGTGCAAATTTTGATACCTAACAAGATTGTCTTTTAACGCTTTTGTCCCCTTACATTTAAAAATGATTTTATCAGCTTGTATAAAGTATCAAACTGAGATTTTTTTTAATTGAAATTTTCTGTTATAGTTTTAGTAAGTTAGAGAATTGACACCTCTCAACATTGAGGCTTTTTAGTAACATAAGTATTTCCTTTTCATTTGGGTTATAGTGTATACTTGTAACATTTATTTCTGTCTCTTGCTAACGATGGTCATCCAGTCTGATATGTTTAAATTTAAATCTGGTTTTATCCTAGTTTTCCTAAAAAATGAAATCCATGTTCTTTGGAAATAACCAGACATTTAAAAGTTAATTGTATTTACGTTCTGTATTAACTTGTGTATTTATTGTTAACTTTTTAGTGGGTGTCTTAAAATATTGACATCCATTGCATCTTTACCATATTTCAGTATGATTATATATCCTGGAAATAAGTGAAGCTTACAAGGCATCTCTTGATTTTTGTGACATATTTTTATGTATATGTCACAAAACACTGTGAAGCCTCTCAAAACACTACCTAGTTTTAAAAACAGTTCATAGCTTCTCATTACTACCTGTTTCACTTTCCAATTGATGAGTAAGCACAGCTGAGAGGCAGACGTCTCCCAAGTATCTTGTTAACTGCCTTGGGATATAGTTTCACAGAGATCTAAAGTTGAATATCTGTATCTTCATACTTAGGCATGTCTCCAAATTGTGAGTTTTGCCTAATGGAGTTGTCTTACTATCTGATAAAATGTCCATAAACATTTTTAGGTAATTGGGACACTAAGGGATAATTAGTTTGGGCAAAGCAAGAACAAAAAAAATTCTCAAATTGTAGAAATATATCTTGGTCTGAGGAAGAAAGCCATTGAATCTACTCAGCTAAAATACTGGTTACCTTTTAAGGAAAGGGGTTCCAGGAAAAGTCTACATGTAGGAACCAAGGGGCCACCAAGAAAAGCAGCTTCTCTTTTTGTAGCATTTTAAACTGAGAAAGTCACAACTATGGGCTGGGAAGTCTTGGGGCTCCCTCGCCCTATGGGCAATGCTTGTGTGTGTGTGTGTGTGTGTGTGTGTGTGTGTGTGTGTGTGTGTGTGTGCGTTTTCTGTCCCTGTATCTCCTTTGAAAGGTGTGTGAGTGAGGAAGATCTCTATTTTAGCTCCTACCTATCCATGACCATCTACATTTAGGCATTGAATTTAGATATAGGTCCAATTGTTTTGGCTCTACCTCTATCAATTCTTAGTTAACAATTAATACTTCAGCCTTGATTCATGCCAGATTTTTCTTCCACTAAAACTCTCGTCATCAGATGACTTATGCCTTCATTGTTACAATGTGAGTTATGCACTGACTTGTTAGACCTAAGCAATTTTGACAATATTAGACAACAAATGGTGAAAGATCTTCACAAGGCCAAAAAAAAAAAAGTATTTAGAACAGAGTTAAATATTCATGGGCAAGGTTAATATTCATGGTAAAGCTTTTTGAAGATTTTAGAAGAAAGGGTGAACTGAACCCAGAGCAGATTTGTGGGAAAATTCTTATGGTGGAAAGTCAATTTGTTTGCTTTCAAAAGCAGTTTAACGGATGACCCAAACAATTGCAAGAACCAGGTAAAATGATAGAAGATAGTAGATACTTTCAGGAAAGAAAAAAAAAATGTAATGAAGGAAATCTGATTTGGAGCTTTTTGATTTATACTTTAAGGCAGGAGCTAGTTTCGGATAGAAGACTAAGATTTTGAAATGAGTTTTCTATTTATAAAATTATAGGCTAACGTTGTTCTATTAATTGTTGTATTTCAAGTCTTTATATGTAGCCTATACCAGAGATAATAAAAGTTGTGTCTTTTATAAACATTGTGTTATAGAAAGTTAACATCTATTTGATGCATCTAGATTACAAATTCTTCCATGTAATAATCTTATAATTAGAGATGAATTTTCCCCCTTGGAGTCTCCAAAAATACATATGGATACATTTTCTTGACTACTAGGAATGAAAACCTGACTTGTTTTGTGTTTTTATTTTGCACAAAGCCTCATGAGGATCCACAGCAGGTATCAGCGCCAATCAAAATCTTGTACTGTTAAGCTCTTGATACGTTGCTCTCGCGGTCCTCTGTAACAGGTGTACGAGGAGGAGGTGAGGGAGGTGGTCTTTCTCGTTTTTTCTTACTCTGGGAAAAAAAGAATGTTTTACAAATCGTATCCTTTCCTAAAATCCTATAACAGGTATTAATTGTAAAATTGCTAGCAATACAAATGTTCATAAAGTTAGATCTTAAAGTGCCATTTATCCTATTTCTGTCCCACTTCCACTTCAACATACTTTGAGTCCAACTAAATGACACGTCACTTTTTGTAGTGAAAATATTCATGATATTCTTGAACAGAAATGAAAGTGCCAGCAGCTCAAGTACTCTACTCTTAAGACATTTAGAAGCTAAAATAAATAAATAAATAAAATATTTAGAAGCTATTTAATTTCTTGCCTCCTAGGTAAGCGTAATTTTGATTTTTTGGTAGTTATTCATTTCTACTTTAAGCAAATAAGACTGTATTCTATTTGTCTTCTATATATCTCAAGTTCCTCTTTTTTTTTTTTTAAAAAAATAGATACCTAGTGTCAATTTCTTCAATTCTTATAATTTTTGAATTTTATTACTCATTAAGTATACATCTTAGCTTATCACAATCTATTTCAGATGAATGGTGCTTTTAGTAAAATATGGCAACTTTGCTCCCGTATGGTCTTCTCCCCTCTGTTTTTGTGCTATTGTCACATAAGGCATATGTTTATATGTGTTATATGCCCAACAAAATAGTGTTACAATAATCATTTTTATCATTTTATGTTTTAAAATTAAGAAAAAAAAAACATTTCTTTGGAGCAAGATTGGGAACTATGATACGTGAGCCAAGCCTGGACTACTGTTTCCACGGTTTTACTGGAACAAGGCCTTTTGAATTCATATCTGCTATCATCTGTGATTCTATCATGCTAAAATACAGCTGAGAAGTTTTAACAGATGCAATTCAGTTGCTTATACAACTTTATGTTCTGGAGATTATCCTGGATTATCTCAGTGAGCTCAGTGAAATTTATTCAACTGTCTGTAAACAATTGATGAGAAGTAAAACCCCAAGATGGTTTGTGACAGTCCAGACAATAGAAAATGCCAACAGTAAGGCTAGGTCTTCCGAGACATTCCTGGGACATGTCCATAGCCTGACCTTTGCCATAACCTTGGGTTCTTGGAAAGTTCTGAAACAGAAGTGAGAATGCTTATCTCATTTCAGGATGAGATATTCTACAACTCAGGCAGTAAGCAGTAAAATGAGTGACCCAAATTTTGTATTTGTGATTTGTAAACAGATTTAAAAGGACTTGTTTGCTTTATCCCGCAGTTCCTACTGGTTGGGAAGCAACTCTTAACTTGGTTGCCACTAGGTGGGATGCGGCTCTTAATGATTGGCTAGTTTAAGGTGCACCACGATGTTTGAACTGATTAGGTATCTACGTTCTGCGCCTCTGCAGCTGATTGAATGATTCCTACCCCATACCAATGTTCTCTTCGTTGATTGGGCGATTGTTGCTTAAAAACCGCTGGGCACGCTGGTCAGGGCTGCTCCCGTCTTCCAGGTGTGATGGAATGGGCACCGTCCAGTGAATCAAGACTCCTGAGCTGTTAAGAATCTGTCTCTAACTCGTTTTTTTTTTTCAGGATAGATATAATCAACTCACAGCAATAATCACCTACAAAATTAATCTTCCTGCTACTCTATTTATGTGCGTTTGAATTTCAGCTGGCATCTCCTTCAGTTTAAAGAACTCTGTTGTAGGGTTTCTTATAAGGATTTCTGCAAGCAACACATTCTGTAGACATATGTCTTTCATTCATCTTCATTCTGAAGGGTCATTTAAAAGGGTTTCCCTTGTTTTTCAATCTCTTTTGTGCTGTTTTTGTGTTTGCTGATTTTGCCTTCAAAGTACAGCTTTAGGGCCCAGCGCGACAGAGTAATGGTTAAGGTCCTCGCCTTGAACGTGCCCGGCGCAGTAGTGTAGTGAGTAAAGTCCTTGCCTTGAATGCACCAGATCCCATATCGGCGCCGGTTCTAATCCCGGCAGCTCCACTTCCCATCCAGCTCCCTGCTTGTGGCCTGGGAAAGCAGTCAAGGACAGCCCAAAGCCTTGGGATCCTGCACCCGCATGGGAGACCCGGAAAGAAGTTCCTGGCTGCTGGCTTCGGCTCTGCGCAGCATCGGCCATTGCAGCCACTTGGGGAGTGAATCATTGGACGGAAGATCTTCCTCTCTGTCTCTCCTCCTCTCTGTATAGCTTCAATCTGTGCTTGAGCTCCCCTAGGAAGTGTTTGTCACTGTATTTTTATCTTCAGAATTTCCATTTGGCTTCTAAAAATGATTTCTGCATTTAATGTTTTTCTTTTTTTCTTTTATGTGTCACTGCAGCATACATGATTAAAACATATTTAATTCGGCTCTTCCAAAATCTTAAGTCTAGCATCCATCCCGCCTTCTCCCAAAAGATATGTATATATTCACTATTCTTGAAATTACGGGTCACCATTTTCTGTTTGCTAGTACATTTTGATGGTCTCATCTTCCCCAAGGAATGGGGGATACTGTTGTATTTTTATGAACTTGCTTTGTGTAAATTGTGTGGAGTAGGGTTTTTTTTTTCCAGTGTGTATTCTCTACTTACTCAACTTTTTCATTTAAAAAATTTCTGTTTTTTATGCCAGCTTCTTGGAGTCCCCTCCCTTGGTGACTGTAACAGGACAGCCAATGATTAATCAGAGGTCAAAATTAAGTGCATTGTTATGGTCTGACCTACGTTCTAGAAAATCCACATATTAAAAGCCCTGTATCTCAGGATGTCATTATATTTGGAGATAGGCTCTTTGCAGTGGTCATGGAGTTATGGGGTTGTTACATTAGGACGGCTGCCATTCCAACGTGACTGGCACAAGGCAGAACATGTGAAGACACAGGGAGGAAGCAGAATGGGAAAGGCTACAAAGACAAGGTGTTAAAGGCCTGACTTTGAACTTTGGGCTGCTAGAATTCTGACAAAAAAGAGTTCCGTTGTTTGAAACATATCATCTGTGATACTTTGTTATACCAGCTCCAACAAGGCATTGTACATATTAAGCCAGTTAAGACTTCTACCCTTTCCTAATGAATGACCAGCAAAGCTTAGGCGATTTATATATCTATGCTGACTTTTATTTTGCAAGGCCTGATCAGTCTGTGGTGAGTAGCTCACTAAAGCTTTCTCTGTTACCTTAGTGTGTGTGTAGCTTTGGATTCTTCCAGATCATAAGGGATAGTCAAGGCCCACTCTGTGTGCCTCGTTCTCAGAATCTTTCTGCCGACTTTCTGAGTGGTTATCGGTCACTTTCTTGACCCAACAAATTTTCTGATTTGTCAATCTAGTAGTGACACTGGCTTTATCTGCTCGTTTGCCACTGACATCACGAATGTTTTACTAACATCCAGGTCATGGAAATTTCTGTGCTATATTTTCAGCCCTCGAGTGCGGGAGGCTGTTGGTCTTTAAAGCGCTAAGTTAAGTTCATGCATAATGAAATGTGGGCAGTTCCAAGGAATGGGAGCAGTTCCAAAAGAACACATCAGATACATGTATGATTCCCCTGAAGTCCAGTGGATTTTCTGAAACTTAGCTAGTTCAGTTAATTTCTAGAGTCTGTAAATGTTTTCTCTATCGACATTTTAAACCAGTTTTATCTTTATTTTTGAAGATACTTTGTAGGGATATTTGCTGTTTTCTGATTCAACCATTTTGGAAGTCCTATTCGTTTATATTTTTCAAGTCCCCCATCTTTTGTTTTTGATGTAATTTCACAATTGCTTATGACTTTCACTTACTTCCTACTTAGAACATTCTTCCAAGACCATTCTATTTAAAATAATCATTGCTTTATTTCCTTATGCATTATTTTATAGCATTTTCCATTTCCTGACATTACTAGTATTCTCTCTCTTTTTCTTTCCAATCCAATGAGAGGAGCCAGAAGCCTCTTCTGGGTCTTCCATGCAGGTGCAGAGTCCCAAGGCTTTTTTGGGTTGTCCTCTACTGTTTACCCAGGCCACAAGCAGAGAGCTAGATGGGAAGCGGGGATTAGAAGTGGCACCCATATGGGAGCCCAGCATATGCAAGGCGATAATTTTAGCCACTAGGCTACCACACCCATCTTTAGACATGCTTTATAATGAGAGCTATTTATGTTTTCAGAAATTCATGTGAGAGGGCTGGGCATGATGGCTTAGTAGCTAAAACTTTGCTTTGCGTGTACCAGGATCTCATATGGGCACTGGTTTGTCTCCGGGATGCTTCACTTCGCATCCAGCTTCCAGCACTAGAGGATGATCCAAAACCTCAGGACCCTGCACCCACATGGGAGACCCAGAAGAAGTTCCTGGCTCCTGGCTTTGGATTGGTTCAGTTCTGGCCACCATAACCACTTGGAGAGTGAACTGCCATACAGAAGATCTTTCTCTCTGTTTCTCCTCTCTGTAAAACTGCCTTTCCAATCAAAATAAATAAATCTTAAAAAAAGAAATACATATGAGAAAGCAATATATGATCACAGAATTACCACCTGTGGATGTGGTATGTGGGTTTGATGGGTGCTTTAGAAGAGTGTCATCCTTGAGCTACATTTTTTTAATCTTTTTATTTACAATTTATTTTGTAATTTGCATTTATGTAATTTCAATACTTCATTTATTGTTTTATGTTTTCTATGTATAAGACAAATGAAAACATCAAGGAAATATCATAATTATATTTTCATTAGTTCTAAATACACTGGATCATTGCACTTTATTTTTTCCAGGGTGTTACTAGAAATCAATATTCCTTGACTTGCCAGAGAAGATTAATACTTACCAAGTGTGAACAGCTGCAGATTGAGTATGTAAGTGCAATAATAAATTCCAGTGGATAGGAGTACAGCAAGATGCGGGAGACTTCCCTCCCAAGTTTCTGTGGCCGGAACACAGAGAGAAATCAACACGAACAGGAAGGAGAGGAGGAAAGCACACACAGGGTTCATTCACTATTTAAGCATCTCTACTCCTTTGCTTTCTGCTTCACTTTTCCTAGTTTTCATTCTTCAATTAATCATCTAAGGCTTGCAGCCCAGAGCTTTATATTCAAATGTTCTGTCTTCACTTGTTACAACATTTTATTCCCAAAAGAACTTTACTACATTGGCCCTGGCACAATTATCTGATTTGTTCAATCAGTAAGATTTGAAACTCCTATATATAACAATATGGCTACTAAGAATTCTTTTTCCTTTATTCAAGCAATTCTTATTTTTTAAGTTATTAATTATAACTTATTTCAATTTCCACATAGTAATAAAATATCCCACATGATATTAATATAAAATGAAATGGATTAATGAGTGAATTTCAGGAGTTCAAAGAATATTTTATTTGGAACCGTAAAATGACCGTGACTTCTGGGATAAACGAAAACAGATCTTCACATTTCATGAAGCTATTTTTCGTACATTTGTGATAAGTAAGTGTTATGAATGGCAGTGATGCTTTGAAATACTGGCTGTGGAAAGACGGAATTTCACTTGAAATAGCCTAATTCTCTGGCATCTTCTCTTTCTCTTTTGGCTTACTTAATGTGTTTTGTAGGCAAGCTCTATGTGGTGGTAAAGATTTCAAGAAAGGGGCACAATGACATCAACACTTCTTGCTTTCTTGAAGTTTATAATCAAATAGAAAAGACAGGTGACATAGGGGTGACATCATGGTACAGCTACCCTGCGTCCAGCTCCCTGCTAATGCACCTGGGGAAGAAGCAGAGGAGGGAAGAAGCTCTTGGGCTCTGCCAGCCATGTGGGAGACCCAGCTGCAGTTCCTAGCTCCTGGCTTTGTACTGAGCCAGCCCTGGCCATTGCACTCATTTGGGGTGAATCAGAGAGTAGGAGATCTCTATTTATGTCTCTCCTTTTTTTTCTGACATTTTTCCTTTCAAATAAATAAAACAAATCTTAAAAAAGAAAGGCAAGATATAAGTCAATATATGATAAAATTAAAATGGAGAAAAACTTGGTGACTATAAGAAACATGAGGTTCACTCTAACCCCTTAATATCTTGGAAGGTTCCTAATGATGTAGAACAGTTGAAATAAGGATAGAACTGAGAAAAATGGATGGGAGAAGTAATAGTCAAGGCAGCTTAAGAATTTTGTTTGTTCCTTCATAAATCATCTGTACTAGAAATAACTTAATCACACAAGCTAAAAGTGTGTGAAAATAGTTAAGAAACTGAGACATACAGTAGAACCAATAATAAAGCTAAAATAAACACTACAATGGCCTATAATTCATTAATGTAAGCAGAAAATGGAATCACAGAAACACTAAATGTTTGGAGGAAATGAAGAACAGTTTCTGAGTGCAGTATTTATTCATGTATACATCAAACAGTTAAATTAGAAGAAGACTTCAGAGGATTTGAAATGTCAACATATGGAATTCTGATTTAATTAAATTATCTGGCAGAAAGAGTCATAACATTTTAGCTGGAAATATTGTAGCCTCTCAGCTTGCAAGATTTTAGAAAGATATTTTCCCCACATTCCTTAACTTATAAAAATTACTATTATTTTCAAAATCTTCATCTGGAAGTGACAAGATGTCTGACACAGCAACTCAAATTGGAAAATAACAAGTCAAATTATAATTAGTTCTTGACATGTCACATAAGCTTATGGATCAAGTCAGTGACTTTTCCTGCCTAAATCAATCTGGACTCTTCCTTGAAACCAAGGGATGGGGCAGGTGTTGCACAGTAAGTGAAGCTTCGGCCTGGGATGTCTGCATCCCCTATTGCACCAGTTTTGAGTTCCGTCTGGCCCAGCGAAAGACACTGCTTCTTGCAATTAAGAAGGAAGCAGCTGATGACTTAAGTGCTTGTGTCCCTGTATGCCATGTGCAGAACGAAGATGTAGTTCCTAGGTTTTGGGAAGTGAATCAGTGGGTAGAACTCTATATTTCTCTTTCTTCCAAATTAAAAATACAAATTTCCCCAAATCCAAAGAAAATCCAAGTTCATACAAAGTTAAATAGAATACTGTTAATTAGTAGAAAGAGAAGGGGTAAGGGATTAAGTCAAGGTAGTAAGCCCAGAGACTGAAACAAGAGAATACTGCAATACAGTGTGCTTTTGAGGAGGTAAATCATTTCCATTGCATATATGTTTAGTTTGAGATAATGACAGAAACATACCCAAGTGGGGAAATCAAGCTGGCCATTACAGCATGAGACTAGTTTGAGACAAAGAGCAGAGCATTTACATTGACATTTCTCCATTTTACACATATGGGAGTGAAATTTAAAAGCTTCCTTAAGTGTTACACACAGTAAGTGAATAATTAGGCTAGTATCTGAGTAAAATTGGGTCTAGTTCTAGAGTCTAGATACTAGACATTTTGCTATACAATAGTGTTTTAGAAATATGTAATTTTGGGGATAGCTGAACCTACCTGGGAACATGGATAAATTTATGTATTTGAGGATTTAGTCGAACCCTTGCTTGTGTTAAAGAAATCGGCCTAATAAAATATTTTAAAACATTGTAAAATCCAGGTATAATTCTATGATCCCACCAGGAAAAGATGGTTAGCAAGTATAAGTCTAATATACAAGTTAATTTTATGTAACTCATCATAGCAAAAAAAGTTAAAACTTCTGATTTATGAAGATCAGCTATAAAATTGCTCATTAGTATCGAATTCAGATAAAGTAAACACAATGTTCATTGGCTTCTAATATCAATTGTAGAAGGCAGGTCTTGGTAATCATGCCACACTATTTTAAATTTAAATTTGCCGTTATAAATGTATGAGTGACAAGTAACTTGAAACAACTGTATACTTAATAAATCCTCCTTTGCAAAGATAGGTTACAAATGAAAAGTTTATGTTAAACCAGAATTTATTAGGTTGCTACAGTATGAACTGCTTTTGTCTATAGTAAAATTCTTTTGTAGACTTTGGCAATAGTTTTGTGGTCTAGGATTATGCTTTTCATATTTTCAATAGGAGAATCATCAGTAAACATGTGCCCGAGGCCTAGACATTTATCACTGAAAACCTTAAATTTTTCACTTTAATTGGGCAAGTCAAAAACTCAAACACTTTAATATTTGCTGAAAGAAATCACACTTTCAAATTAAAAATTTCAGTTACCAGCTGACAATTGAATCAAGTAACTCTGTGAGAACCAACAAAAGCTCCATTTGATCTCCTGAGGTTTGAAAAATAGCATTTTTTTTTTTTTTTACAGAATTGGCCACTTACCGCTTGTCCATAATTCCTATATGACACAGATTTGAAACTTGACAACTCAACTATTACCAGAATTACTGCAACAATTGTAACGAGTATGGAGAAGATGTTCATGATCAATGCAGTCATAGCCTGAAAGAGAAACACAGAAGAATTTATTATTTTTAGAATAGTTACCTGGGTTAAAACGTTTGTAGTGCTAAAAACATCATCTCAGTTGCATTTTCCAAAATGTTGGAAGTGTCCGTATGCTTGCCATTAACATAAAATACTTCTCTGGCTTACATAAACCCAATGAATCTGGAGGAAATATTAAAATATCAGGCTGAAAAGAGCCAGTCTTTCACGTGGGTTCAAGAGCATTATTTTTCATAATTTTATGAGTAACTTGGAAGAGAGCCTGTAAGATAATGATTTAGACAAAATTGATTCTACCACTGAAAGAGGACAAGAAAGTAACTGCCTATGGCGATAAAACCAGAAAGGAGTCAATGTTTTAATCCTTCGTTTTATTATTTGGGGAAAAATCTATCAATAGCTTTATATGTAGGTGTCTTAAAGTTGTATAATTACAAGAAAAGAATAGTTTTATGATATCTTTTGATACTAATCATCTTGAGTCTTTTCTTCACACTATCTCTCTACTGTGTCACTGATGGATCTTTGTTTTAAATTAATTCCCTCTTATTCACAGGATTCAAATCTGTTCCCAAAATCGAAATTTCAGGAGATGAAATTTTACAGTAGTGTCTCTATATAAAAACATTAGATTCTAATAAAAATTTTCTTTTTTTTTAGAAGACAAGGAATATCATGTCCATTTCTTTTTTTTAATTTTTTAAAAAGATTTATTTTTATTTTTTTTTATTGGAAAGGCGGATATACAGAGAGGAGAGACAGAGAGGAAGATCTTCCATCCGATGATTCACTCCCCAAGTGAGCTCAACGGCCGATACTATGCCGATCCGAAGCCAGGAGCCTCTTCCGGGTCTCCCACTCGGGTGCTTTCCTGGGCCACAGGCAGGGAGCTGGAAGGGAAGTGGGGCTGCCGGGATTAGAACCGGTGTCCATATGGGATCCCGGGCTTGCAAGGTGAGGACCTTAACCACTGCGCCATCGCGCCGGGCCCTAATAAAAATTTTCAAATCATAAAATTCAGAGAATCTTCAAAATACAGAACACTAAACCATACAAAATTATAGTTATCTCTAAATGAACTAATTATGATTTTTATTAATGTAGTTCGTGTTAATTTATCTGCTCCTACATTCTCACTTAGTTTATTTTACAGGTGGAAAGATTATTGCTTAGTCTCTCATTAAGTCCTATCATTTACCTCTGTGACAAGTGATTTCTAGAGAATCTCCCAACATTTCACCTTACCATGCACTGAGTTGGATGATTTGCTGATCTTATTATGACAGCTCCTGAAATGATAAACTGGACATAAAACCATATTTATGAATACTTGTTGGTAATGCTTGCCAAATTAAACATATGTCTAACAACTTCTTTTAACAAAACGAAAAGTACCAAAGTACAAAAAAATTATAATAGAAGCAGTCAGGATTAATTTTTTGTCATGTAATAACTATGTAAGCCAAATGGTGAGTTATTGAAAGGTAATAAATTTTAAGGGACAATGGTGTATGCAAAACATAGCAGAAACAGACCCAGACCAGGAACCAAGTTTGCTTATGAACGCATTCTACGTAATATGCATATAAGTGCTTGATAATTTGTAATGCTTCCTAGTGAGATGGCACCCTGATTAATTATTGAGTACATATGTAGAGTGAAGAAAGTGGTCTATGAATCTATTCTACATTGTGATGATACAAATTATATGTCTTAACAGCTTCTATTTATGCATTTCTTTTTTAAAAAGAAATTCCATTATTTTGTGTTAAGAAGTCTATTTCCCTGGAAGTGTAGATAAATGCCATATTATTTAAAGGTGGGTCGTACAATTCTTTAGAAATGTTTCTAACTTTTGGAAAAAAAATAGCACTAATACTACACACCACAGGTAGGAAGGCCAAAGATGAAGGCCAAAGATGACGTTACAAATTCTGCAAGGATAACTTCAAACTTATACATTTTGTACTTCATTTTTAGTCAAAGGCTGGGTATTCTAGGGAGGTACATAGTGAAGGCAAGAATTAAATCAGTATATAAAAATGAACCAGTGGACTAAAAATACCTTGTGAATTTTCAACTATAGTGCTAACTAGATTATTAAAGCCTACAGGGTGCCAAATGGCTTCCCAAGTTTATCACCTAAATGAGAAGTTTTACATTGGATTTTATGTAATTAAAATTTTAAGTAATTTATTCTTGGAGTTAAATGTGCTATTTTTTACAATATACACCCCAAACAAACAAACAAAACATGGCTAGATTTTGCCAGACAATACACTGGTTTGTTTTGTTTTCCAAGAAAATGCTCTGACACACAGGAACATAATCGCTTATGAACTAATTATCATTTTGCTTGGATTTGTCTGAAAGTTCACTATTTTCTCCAATTTTTAATTTTATGTAGAGAGGCAGTATCCCTCAGGTGTAACTGTTTTCTGTAGTGATCACTGTCCCTTATAGAGATCACCTTGTCTCCAACAGTCCTCAGACTGTTTCGAGGGTGGGTTAACTGATTCCCTCGGGCCCACTTTCTTCTCTAGCTTTGAATTAAAAAATGTTATATTCTGTCACCTACCGTTCCTTACTGTTGAAGTAACCTCATTCCAGATGAGCTCCATCCATATTCTCTATCTCTTGCCCCGTTTCCCTTCTCTCTCACCTACCCGACCTTATTCATCATTTATTCCTTGATAATGTCAATAAAGACACTTATGATCTTTCTAATACCCTGGACTTGTGGCTGTTTGAAATTTTCTTCTGCACTTTTTAAAACCAACAGCCATTATTGATTACCAATCAAAATAGAAAAGAGGAAGGAGTATGGAAGCGTCTATAACATTCTCTCCTGGAACAGTGTCCACTGACTTGGTCAGCACCCTCCAAAAAAGCTTCCTTTCTGATTGTTTCACTCTGGTCTCTCTTACTCCTCTTGTCTCTGTTTTATCTTTGAAAAGATAAGACGCAGGGCTCTCAAAGAAAGCCCCACCTGTTACTCTTCTAGCAACGCTCTCAAGTATTAAAACACTAAGAATGCTTTTTTTGGTCTTTATTTGAATCTCTAATCTAAGAGTCTCACTTCCATGTTAAATTCTCTCCTTCATTAGCCTAAATTTCATGATCAACCATTACCAACACCCGTTACCCAATGCTTTTGCACCTCGTTTTTATCACATTTGCATTATTAAGCAAAAGTCCTGACTAAATGCAGGCTTCTTCCTGTCACACACCTGGATCCACTGCAAGCAGAACACGGATGACAAAGACACAAACTAGCTAGCAAAATAATTGTGTTCCTGAATGTTAAGTGTCTTTAATAAAATATGAAAATGAAAATCAAACTACTTTTTTTTTTTTAAATGTAATATGTGGACTCTCTTTTCCTAGATGACTGTTTCCTAACTGCTCTTCTGAGCCAATCTCACTTGCTCATTCTCACTTTAGCTCATCATCTTGCTTCCTAATTCACTGTAATATATGATTGAACCTTTTGGAAGAAAACATTCACAAGTTTCCAAACAGCTATTAAAACTTGTCTTTTCTCTCTTGCTTTCCCTTTCCCTTTGATCTGACCTTGAAAGTATTTGTGTTAAAGCTGATCAGCCGGTGTTGTGAAAGGCGCATTTGTATATTACAGGATGATTAGCAGCACGCCTGACTTTTGCCCACTAGTATGTACACCCTAAGTTGTGAAGACTCACAATATTAGCTCCAGATGTTACAAAATGTTCTCTAAGGAGAAAGCTCACCTCCAGTAGAGAACCATTGTCAGAGAAAACGTGTTTATATTCCTAGGTATTTGTGCAATAAAATTCCTTCTCTCTTGCCTGCACCAATTCACGACTCCAGTAATTCTCCTCTCTTTCTGTTCATCTTCTGCCATCAATTATCTTTCTCCCTGAGAGTTTAGTGCCCTCAAAAAAGACTTGATACTATTTTCTTTCTACTCATAGAAACAAATGACAAACTCTCTCCTGACCCAAATGTCCCCAGTTATTACTGCCTTTCTCTATACCATATTACAGTTGTCTATACATGCTGTCTGCGATTTTTCTCATGTTATTTCTTTTTTAAAGAAAGATTTTTTTTTATTGGAAAGTCAGATGTACAGAGAAGAGGAGAGGCAGAGAGGAAGATCTTCCGTCTGCTGATTCATTCCCAAGTGGCCGCAACGGCTGGAGCTGCGCCAATCCGAGGCCAGGAGCTTCTTCTGGGTCTCTCATGCGAATGCAGGGTCTCAAGGCCTTGGGCCATCCTCTACTGCTTTCCCAGGTCATAAGCAGGGAGCTGGATAGGAAGAGGGGCTACCAGGATTAGAACCAGTGCCCACATGGGATCCTGGTGTGTGCAAGGTGAGGACTTTGGCTGCTAGGCTACCATGCCAGGCCCTTTGTGTTATTTCTCAAGATAACTTCAATAAGGTATTTGTTTTGACATTCCATTGAAAATGCTTGTCACCCTCATCACTGAGCTCCATATTGCTAAATCCAATGGCCAATTCTTAGACCTCATCTTATTCGCCAAAACCATTAAATATAGTTGGTCTTTCCCTATTTCCTGCAATACTTTTTCACTTAGCACCTGGGAGGAACATTCTCCAGGTTTTTGCTCTACATAATCGCTCTCTAGAAACCACAGAAAGGTGACTGGAATGAAAAAGTTAGAAGGCTAGTGTGACAAAGAGAAGGTAAAGGGCTTAAATATGAAAACTAACCATGCTGAAGATATTATGGTTAAGACTATTTGTCTTCCATATATCTAGTAGACAATCCACACTATGTTTGGGATTTATTATTATAGCTGTAAATCTTGGAATAACATTTGTCAGTCAAAATGCTTAGTACATTTTTGTTGCAAAGGTATTTGACTATGAATAAATTACCAACATGAAATCTAGTGATATAATTCTCCAGTGCATCTTGTTTAGAAATTCTCTACTTTCTACTATCGATACATTACTTACTGAATGATGAAATTAGTATAAATATGGTCTACCCACCATAACTCCCCATAAAGCACATCCTGCTTTGTAAGTTATAGGTTCATAAGTTCCAAAGACTCCTTTGACTTGTCCCATGTACAAAACCAAAAGGAAATACCACATCAAGACATGAAAGATGCCAATCATAATCTGGATAGCCTGTGAGAAGAGAAGGGTGTTAGTCCTGAGACAATGCAATTTAAAACCACCTCAGCAATCATTAAGTATGCGACATTTAATAAAAGTAAATCATCAATGCACTTAGCTATGTATTTCTTGTACTGATTTAGCTCAAAATTAAGAAGGCCTCAACCAGGAAAGGCTGAGGTTTATAAAACAGGTATCAGTCATACTTTTAGCAATATTTTATTCAATGGTAGGATCTCTTAACAATTCTGTCATAAGAAAGTTGACAAATTGATTCTACCACTGGCTAATTTCCTGACTATCAAATAATGACACTAGATCATACTAAAGGTCCTGAGCACATATAAAGGCTTGTAATTTAGAATGCAGGAAACCAAAGGATCAACAGTTTCTTGTAAATTGCAAATTAATATAATTTATTAAGAATAAATCACTTTTTGAATTTTTCAAAGATTTATCTCTTCCTTCAGGCAATTACTTGGTGTACAACTTTTCATAAACCTTCTAGAGTGAAGAATAATTTAACATGTAAAACCAAAGTATACCCAAGGTGAACTTGTTGACATAGGTCTTTCCACTGGATAGTTATGTTACAGTATGGGAGAATTAGTATTTTTATTTAACTTTAATTTATGGAAAAATAATTATAAAACCAGTACATTTTTCCTGAATTCATATGAGAATTGATTTTTCATATAAAGAATCTCGCTTTTAAATCATCTTTAAAAATGACAGAAGCTATGTCATTTTTCATCTAAACATTAATAATGAGTCATTAAATGTTTTAAAAATTACAGATGTTTGATAGGCAAATATATGAAACAGAAGGCAATTGGTTACTTAGCCTTTTAGATACATTTTAAGAAATTCTTTATTAAAAGAAGTGACCTGTTTTTTTTGTTGATATGCTTTTCATTTTATGAATTTAGTATTAAGGTTTTCCACAGCACTAGATTTTCAAGGATGCTATTATTTTTGGGGTTCTTTGGATTTGAGTGGGAATGATATTATCTACCATACTGTAGCATGTTCTGATTGCTCCGCTGTTATCCCATCATGTAGAAGAAGTGGGCTTGACGAGTCTTTGATAAGACAAAAAGTTGCTCTGCATAAAGTCGAAATATCTAAATAGCCAAACATCAGCATGTGAAAGACGAGCTAGGTTTTCCTCATTTAAATGTTTTTTTAAAAAGAGTCAATGAATGCGTTCCAGGTGAGACTTGTCCTTCCCCGTCCCTAAAAAAAGCTCAAAGGATTATGACATATACATTGATTCCGAGAAGATTTGAAGTTTTATTCTATGTGCAAAGGTCTTATGACCTTGAGGTGTATGATCTTTTCTGAACAGTGAGACAGAAGACTTAGACAGTTTATCTGCATGAAATCTGAATTCAGAGGAAAAATTAGTCAGAGGACAGTGTTTCTTTTTCTTCAGAAGTGAAGGTGCACAATCCTCAAAATTCCTTGTTGTTCTTTCGCCTTTTAAAGATTTATTCATTTTTTATTGGAAAGTCAGATTTACAGAGGGGACAGAAAGATCTGTCCACGAGTTCACTCCCCAATTAGCTGCAATGGCCAGAGCTGAGCTGATCCGAAGCGAGGAGTCAGAAGCTTCCTCCAGGTCTCCCGTGTAGGTGCAGGGTCCCAAGGCTTTGGGCTGTCCTCCACTGCTTTCCCAGGCCACAAGCAGGGAGCTGATGGGAGGTGGAGCAACTGGGACACAAAACAGTGCCCAAATGGGATCCCAACACATTGAAGGTGAGGTTTTAGTGACTAGGTTATTGTGCTGAGCCCAAAATTCCTTGTTCTTCAGAGAGCTAGCCAAGATGCAACTTTCCATGTTTTAACAGAAGAGATACATTTATGAAATTTTTGCATTCATCAGTACAATAATTAATAGATTATGAACCTCTTTCAAAGTGAAAAAACAAAAAAAAACCCCACATTCTTTTTCTTTTATTCTTTCTCTAGGATTTTGTTACCTTTTGTGTATTGGTTTAGTCAGTACATATATCTACGTGTTTTATCTATACACATATTATGGAGGGCATGGGATAACCCCAAATTTGTAAAAGACACATTTAAAAATAAACTTTCACCTTTTAATTAAATGTGCCCTTTTGCAGATCCACGAGTACATTTTAAACTGAAATACTTTATGATGTTGAATTGAGTCAAAGCTTTACTTACTCCTAAAACAAGACTGTCTGCTCTAGAGATTTTTGAACTTCCACATGCACATGCCATACTACCAGCATTTCCTGAAGGTGATTTTTTTCTTCAAACTTTGGTGATATTTTTATTGGCAAACGTCTACAAAACAAAACACATCATTTGGTTTTTCTCAAAAGAAATGATGTTAAGTTTAACTCTTTCCTTATTGTTTGGCAACCACTCTCCCAAACTCAGAAGCAGCTGTTTTCTTCTTTCTATACTTGAATTGGTAGATACATCAACTTGCATTTATTTTTTCTTAGTATCTATCACCAACATATACTGTTTTGTCATGCTATGGGCATTATCTCTAGGCGACCACAGCATCTCTAGATAACAAAATATAAAGAACATCAATGGAACAGTAGTAGAGAATGTTTACTGAAGCTTTTGGTAATTCATGTGCAATTCTTAATCAGTTCAATGTGGCTTAGAATGACAGGTCTGCATTAAAAACGTTTTTAAATTTACCAAAATGTGCGCATATAATTTTTTCTTTATACATACCTGCCATCTTGTTCTTTCTATATGAACATAATCTTCATTTTTTTTCAGACAGCTTATCAAAGTTGCTTCTTTAATACCAAGGGCATCTCTCATTCTCTCATGTTGTATTAAGATAAGAAAAAAACTGAGTAAACTTATTTCTTTTTGACTATAGTACTGTGTAACTGGGGGGAACAATAGCAGGGTGAGGAAGTGAGGGAGGGAAGAGCCTCTATACCCACAAACCTGTATCATGGTAAATAACACAAGTATTTTAAAAAAAAGAACAGACTGGTTACTTGATATCATCAGTTTAAGCAGTGAATAGTGTTGAAAAGCTACATCACACAACTCAAAAATGTGCATGCTGGATATTACTCCAAAAATTTAAAAAACTATGTTTAAAAAACACTTCCTACAAATAATTGTTTCAATATATAATTTTTGAAAAGAAAAAATTATGTACATTTGAGAAACTGTATCCCTCTGTAAATCTCAAATGCATCTTCTATTACGCACATGTTGGAAAGGAATGACTTCACTTGACTCAACTGATTTTAAGTGCTTAATTTTACGTTTTCAGAGAGCAAGAAGTATAAATAGCCTCTTATTTCTCGGAATCTTTTAAACATATTGGTTTATTTCACTCAGTCTTTAGTTTCTAAACTTCTATGTCTCTTGCTCTTTTGAAACATAGAGACAGAAAAAAAAAAAAAACCCAGGTAAGAATACAGAAACAGGTGACAAAAGCTTCAGTTAGGAACTGAAGCAGGAGTGACTACATTTTAGTGCCATCTCCGACAAGTAACAAAGAGTTTGTAGCTCTACAACCAACCAAGATTACCCAGCTGTGATTGAATAGAAAGTCACAGAACTAGACTATATGTGGAGCCATAGCTGTGTCTATGATCGCCACTTTTCACAAAGCAGGAAAGTAATTTAAGAAAGTTGTTTTTACATTCCTAGTTTAACAGCAGAATCACAAAATTACTTGGGGAGGATATTTAAGCATCACTATAATCGCCATCAAGTTTCCAACAAAGCCACTCCAAGTGAAGCATTCATACAGATATCAAATAGAATATATACATTATTATATGTGTATTTTAAATCTTTAGCTTGATGGATTCAGTAAAGCAGTAACTATAATATATTCCTAGAATAATCACTTGGAATTATTTTCTGAAAAGATATCCTATACTTAGTTATTCTTCTCTTTTTTAAGATTTATTTTATTTTTATTTGAAAGTCAGATACAAACAGAGGAAGAGAGACAGAGAGGAAGCTCTTCCATCCATTGATTCACTCCCCAAGTGGCTGCAACGGCCGGAGCTGTGGCCCATCTGAAGTCAGGAGCCCCGAGCCTCTTCCGGGTCTCCCATGCAGGTGCAGGATCCCAAAGCTTTGGGCTGTCCTCGACTGCTTTCCCAGGCTACAAGCTGGATGGGAAGCAAGGACGCTGGGAAATGAACCAGCACCCATATGAGATCCTGGGAGCATGCAAGGTGAGGACTTTAGCCACTAGGCTACTGTGCTGGGCCCTATACTTGTTTAATCTTTTAACCCAATTATACATCCTGTTTTTATAAAAGGACAAAAACGTAAATACTCATTTATAGTTTTTATTTTCTGGGGATTTCCATCACGGACTCAAAAAACAGCTATAGCATGAAGAATCTGGTTCTAGTTCCCAATTTCAGTATCAGACCCGAAACATGCCTTACATGGAAATTCCTAAACAATCAGAGAGTTCCCTGTCTGGAAACTGCTTCTCTAGCTTTAGCAGACACAATCTTTCACCAAATTCAGATTAAAATAAAACAAACACAATTAAGGCATAATTCCTTCAGTAATTACATCCTGTCCGTCCAAACCTCATCCGGGCCAGCCTTCGGACTGTAATAACTCCGGGTGTAACCTTTGGGAAGCACGCTCTGGTTTCTAAATCTGCAGTACCGCGTTTCCCTAACACTCTCTTCACAACCCCCACCTTGGTGTGTCACTTGACTTGATTCTCAGGACTGGATCCAAGGCACTGTCAACTTCCCGGGGGCCATTCTGCATACCGAGGGACACATGGAGGGCGGGAGGCTGGGTGAGACCCTGACTGCACAGGGAGGCCACGCGTCACTGTACTGCGTCTGCAGGCCCTTTGTGGGATCTGAAACTTGCATTTTCCCTGTTGGAGGACGCAGGCAGGTGTTCTGCCCTCTCGGGTCCAGGCCCGAGGCTGCAGGGGTTCCCACACACCCTAACCCAGAGCTCTCTTCTTCAGCACACCTTCTGGGTCCTCACGCCAGACTTGGGCCTGGCTGAAGCGGCAGATTTGGGCTTCGGGTAACTGCCGCCCTCAACGCCAGGTCTCCTCTAGACCCGACAGAACCGCCATCACCGCAGGAGTCAGGAACCCGGCCCCAGCCCAGGAGCTCTTCAACGGCAGCCTCTCCGTGGTCCCAGGGCGCCTGCGCGACCCTTCGCGGAGGGAGGGGCCGCGGATGCGCGTGCGCAGAGCAGCTCGCAGACATGGCGGATTCTCCTCGGGTCCGTGCTGAGGTAGTCGCTTTGACGAGGCCACTGGCGTCACACCTGGAAAGTCAGTCGTTTATCTTTTTTGTCCGGAAAGATTTGGACCAGCTTAGAAGCTGTCGGTATGAAAAAGGCAAGTTAATTACGTCTTTTCAACGTGAGTAATGAAAGAAGGAAAAAAAATAATCTATGAAGGGCGTGTTGAGTAAGATGCCCGAATGGTGTTCTGATCCACGCCGAGATGGATATTCTGTTTGTTGAAGGTAACCAGAAAAATACAAAGTAGCAGGGGTAGCTGCTAGGAGGTGCAGGAGAGGCCAATCTGAGGGGGTGGCCGAGGAAGTGGAAAAACAAAATAAACAAATGTCAAGTGGGCAGAGTATATGATCTGACCAGTGCCACTTACTCATCCTGTGCCGTGGCATTCAAGTGTCTGACTGCTTAGGCACTCTCATGCCCGGAGGTTTAAATTGGTGTTTTAGAAAAACACTCCCTCAACTTGCACTGTAAATGCTCGTGTAGTAAAACATAGCCAATGATTAAAATATTTGGAAAGGTAAACATTTGTTCATTACGATGACATTTTCTAAGTCTTTCTAAACCTTATTCTAAACCATGAGTAGATAACGCTGTCTACCTACTTTTTATGATTCTTTTACAACCCAAATAAACAACCAGAAAAGAGGAAAGGTGTTTTTAGTCTGACAGCTAAGTTCCTTACATTAGGAGTGCAAAGTCCTCAAGAAAATCACTGGTATTTAAAAGTCTGCACGTTTCGTGTTGGTCAGTGTGTCACGGATTTATGCTGAAGTAGCACTTCAGTTTCTGTCAGTGTTGTGTTTCTGTGATGTGTTTGCTTGTGATTGGAGAGGGCTCTGCCAATAGAGAGCATTTTATGTACTACATGTAGAAATTGTTTCGAATGATTGGTCAACATCAAGAGTACAGATGTAGTAGAATCCAAGGAAGAAATAGCCGCTCTGATGAGATGCAACCCTGTTGTAACTCGCTGACAGACAGATCAGTTCTCAGAGAAGTGATACACTTTTTCCTTTAAGTTTTAACCAGTTGCCTCTGGAAATGATCGGATATGTGATCATTTTTTGTGGGACCATAACGTGCAATTCATGTGAAACATGTAACAATGGGGTAAGCTTAACTGCGAGGCAGCACAGTTTCGTAGTACTCCATAGTTCCTGTGATAATACCCACAGATCATTACAATGACACTTATTTTCTCTGTTCCTATCACCTGGGTTTGGAACTCAGAATTAATGTAAGTTTATATTTTACCCTTTGGTTCTTTCTTTCTTTCTTTCTTTCTTTTTTTTAAAGATTTATTTGTTTTTGGACCCGGCGGCGTGGCCTAGCGGCTAATGTCCTCGCCTTGAACGTGCCAGGATCCTATATGGGTGCCGGTTCTAATCCCAGCAGCTCCACTTCTCATCCAGCTCCCTGCTTGTGGCCTGGGAAAGCAGTCGAGGACGGCCCAAAGGCTTGGGACCCTGCACCCCTGTAGGATACCCAGAAGAAGTTCCTGGATCCTGGCTTCGAATTGGCATAGCATCAGTCGTTGCGCTCACTTGGGGAGTGAATCATCGGACGAAAGATTTTCCTCTCTGTCTCTCCTCCTCTCTGTATATCTGACTTTCCAATAAAAAGAAAAAAGATTTATTTGTTTTCATTGGAAAGTCAGACACACAGAGAGAAGGAGACACAGAGAGAAAGATGTACCATGTGCTGATTCACCACCCAAGCAGATGCAAGAGCTTGAGCTGAGCTGACATGAAGCCAGGAGCCTCTTGCAGGTCTCTCAAGAGGGCGCATGGTCCTAAGGCTTTGGGCTGTCCTCTGCTGCATTCCCAGGCCACAAGCAGGGAGCTGGATGGAAGCAAGCCTGCAGGAATTAGAATTGGTGCCTATATGGGATCCTGGACTTTAGCCACTAGTCTAAAGTGCCAGGTCCAAATTTTACCCTTTGATTTTTAAAGATTTATTTTTTTATTATTTTTTTATCGGAAAGGCGGATATACAGAGAGGAGAGACAGAGAGGAAGATCTTCCGTCCGATGATTCACTCCCCAAGTGAGCGCAACAGCCAGTGCTATGCCGGTCCAAAGCCAGGAGCCTCTTCTGGGTCTCCCACGCGGGTGCAGGTTCCCAAAGCCTTGGACCGTCCTCAACTGCTTTCCCGGGCCACAGGCAGGGAGGTGGAAGGGAAGCGGGGCTGCTGGGATTAGAACCGGCGCCCATATGGGATCCCGGGAGTGCAAGGCGAGGACCTTTAACCACTTGCGCCACTGCGCCGGGCCCCTACCTTTGATTTTTAAGAGTACTCTGCAGCCTTCATCCATTGAGGAAGTAAAATGTAGTTTCCTATCCAATATGATTTTATTTTAATTTGCCATTTTAAAAGTATTTATCTATGTGGGTCATCCTGCTAATTTCTCTTGACTTGGGTCCCAGAATATGAAACACATTAAAAGAAAATGTGCTGGAAACATCATGCCTGGTACAATGTTGTTAACGTCATTTGCTAAAAATGATTAGAAGAAGTTTTTTGACTAGAAGCTGTGGCATAATTCTATGTTCAAATTGCTATAATGATGTAACCTAGCCTGACCTGGCTCACTCCTTGCTCTGACACTGGTGGACAGGTACTGTGGCCTAGCCCAGCCAGGTGTGCCTTCCAGCCCCAACTTTTGCTAGTGTCAGCAGGTGGAAGCTTGTGCCGTTTAGTTCAGGCCAGGTTCTCACGTGGAGCTGTGCCTTGTTCTTACTCAGACAAACCCTACGACTTTCCCCTCTAACCACCTGGTCTAGACTTCCTTGCTTACCTGCGAGTCCAGTGCCACAATCTGTGTAAGATCCCAGAAGTCGTTCCTCTTCTGTCAAACAAACCCTCAACTCTCCCACTCCAGTATGTCTGCAGAAATGCATTCCTGTGCAGCCTGTAGCTCCAACCACTAAGGCCAGGTGGTATGTCCTGGCCCAGAGGTCCCCATCTGCCTCACTTTGGGAAGAGAAAAAAAGCAGTTATGGGACATACTGATAGATTAGTTAACATACATTTGTCAATAACCAGGTACAGTATGCCTGCCAGGTAATGGCTGCTTTTCTTCCAGCAGTGTAATTCAAGGTAAACTATGCATTGTCTACAGTCTGGGGAATTCTAATCCCATTCTTTTTCTCTTCAGTTTCCTGTAAGAAATACTTCACATTGTGATTTTCTTGGGATTGTGTAAAGATACTGTTGAAGTTGTGAAGTCTAGGGATCTTTCTTTGGGGTAATTTCTGGCTGTGTGTACTGCTCAGCAGTACCCTTTGTCTTCATTTTCTTCCGGGAATATTGTGATCTTTATTGCTATAGGCAATGTGGCTTTATATGACTACATAAAGTAACCTCTGACCTAGAAGTGTATTCTGCAGAGAGGGAGGAGTAGCGGAATATAAAGTTAAATTATAAATGAAGCTAAAAGTGAAAAGAGATAGGCCCTGTGTTGTGGTGCCACAGGGAAAGCCACGTCTTGCAGTCGTGGCATCCTGTGTGTGAACTGATTCACTTCTTGGTGTGGGCATTTGGGAAGTGAATCAATGGATGAAAGATACCTATCTTTGTCTGTCTCCAACCCTGACTTTCACATAAGTAATTGTTTAAAGTAAAAACAACCAGGCACTACAGGAAAAAAGACAAAAAGCAAAAAAGAAAACTAGCTAGAGAAAGCATGGGAACATTGTGGAGAAAGAAACCTCTGGAATACCATGGATTTGGTAGAATTTAATGAACATCTGATTTTAGGAGTTAAGCCAGGGATTTGAGGAGTGGAGAAAAGAGCAAACAGGTAATTAACAAAGGTAAAAATTGTTGCAGAGGGTAAACTGGATAGAAAAAGTTTTGTTTGATTTAAACACAAGACTCAAGAAAGGCAAACTAAAGTAGTTTTAGGAAAACACTGATATACAACATCTCGCAAACATCTATGTTGTAGCTTAATCATATTTTGAGCAAATTGTTTATATTTCAATCCAGTTTTATTTGTGCATGAAAAACTATACTTGCATTCATACTTAGGTAGAATCTATCTCATTTTATTTTGTTTCCAAGTGGGCCTGTCATAGTATTAGGTCACAAAATATTTGCAAATTACATTTTAAACAAGCCAATAAATGATCACTGAGCTAAAATACAGAATGAAAATACAGTCATGCAGTTCTCAGTGGTGGGAATATGTTTTGAGAAGTGAATCTTTTAGGTGTTGAATTAATGAGTGGTGTTCCTTGTTGGAACACAGCCCCTGCAGGTGAGCACACTAATCAAGGCAAGGAGCAGCCCAGCCCAGGCCAGGTTACAATACCTGTATGCATGTGGACCAGGTCTGGAGATAAACCAGGTTAGAACAGGTCTGGGGATAAACAGGTTGAAACACTGGCAGATCTGGGAACCAGGATGGGGTACAAGAGGAGCCAGGTTGGTCCGCAACACTAGCCAGTTCACATTAAGGCTAGGACAGGGAGCTTGCTGGGCTTGGCTCAGCTGAAGCACCCACCAGCAGGAGCTGGAACTTGGGGCAATTGGACTGAGTCAGGCTGTGCAATGCCCTGGTGGATGCTGAGATGAAGGGGCAGTGGGTGCCAGGTCCATGAGTCCTGGGGGTAGGGGTCCAGTAGGTCCTTGGTAGCCTGGCCCAGGGTGTTGGGCCCACCTGCAAAAACATGTTCTCCTCCGGGGAAAAGGCAGAGCTTTGGATGGCAGAATGTGATGGACATGGAGAATATGGCAGCCCATTGTGTACCATAACAGAAAAAAGAGAATAGAACAAATTGGACGACAACCCCGCAATATGATGACAGCAAATCTGGTTGAATGGAGACTTGAGGTCACTGTGTCAGCCAATGGGCATTGTCAGGGCTTCCTCATCCTTGGATCAGTGAAATTGACAGCATTTTAGAACCATCCAAACCACTTGGACAGAACCCTTGGAAGATGCACTACATCAGGACCCTGGGTTGATATCGGGTGGTGGGTCCCCTTCCCTGGTTTCTGGGACATTTGAGAGTTTGGGTATGGCTTTCCCCTTTATCTGTCCTCTTCTCCCAGAAAAAGGAAGAAGAAATAGGAAATTGGGAAGGAATGACCACACTCTCTTTCCCTAAGCCTCAATCCTTCCCACCCTGATGAACTATGTAAACATCTTAAAAATATAAAATTAAAAAAAATAACAGAATTGGTTATATTCCTTATGACGTTTTATTGAAGAATAGGTAATATGAACAAGAAAATTTCATTTTTTAGTCTTCTGGGTCTGCTAGGGAATTATAGGAAGAGACAGTGAAGTGATAGTTATTATTAGTGATGAATCTAAGGACAGGCCCTTTTTGTTATTTAAGGTTAGAAATCACCGTGGACAATGAAAGCTGGCTTCTGAAGATCCCTCCAAGAGCAGTTTACTCGTTGAATTTGGAGGATGGATAGGTGCCCCTCCGTTGTTAATAGTTATTGGAGTAAGCTGGGTAGCCATCAGTTCTGGGAGGAGCTGAGGAAGACCCTGGTGCCATAAAGTTGACTGCATACACAGCTGGAACAATCATGACGAGCTGAAACAAGATAAAAAAAAAAAAAGAAAGAAAAAATAAAAATAAAAGCAGTACAATTACTGCAGTCCTAGTCTGTGTTCCCTGCTCCCTCCGAGTCTGGGACAATGAACCTCTAGTCAGCCCACAGTGGCATCTGTCAGGGTGCTGAGGTTCTATTTATTCTGGAGTATTCTAACTATTTCACCAAGAAGAGGCCCAACTCACCCTTCTGGTGGCACTGATTGCTCTTCTTGCAAAGTGGGCTGTGACACAATTTATGCAGAACACCAAGAGGGAGAGAATTAACAGCATGCTTGAAATTCCCTTCCCAGCGGTCTGAAATCAGAAAGAAACACACTGAGATTTTGACCTCAAGCAAAGATCAAAATCTTATTGAATCATCAAATGTTCTAATTTTCAGATTCAAGTGACTTTCACTGAGTCTGCAGGTTGTCAAGTGCTTAGCTCTGAGAGAAACGTGAATTTATTTATTAATTGGAAAGGCGGATATACAGAGAGGAGAGACAGAGAGGAAGATCTTCCGTCCGATGATTCACTCCCCAAGTGAGCGCAACAGCCAGTGCTATGCCAGTCCAAAGCCAGGAGCCTCTTCTGGGTCTCCCACGCGGGTGCAGGGTCCCAAAGCCTTGGACCGTCCTCGACTGCTTTCCTGGGCCACAGGCAGGGAGGTGGAAGGGAAGCGGGGCTGCTGGGATAGAACCAGCGCCCATATGGGATCCCGGGAGTGCAAGGTGAGGACCTTAACCACTTGCGCCACCACGCCGGGCCCTATTTATTTATTTTTTATTGGAAAGGCAGATATATAGAGAGAGGAGACATGGAGAGGAAGATCATTTGTCCTATGGTTCACTCCCCAAGTGGCCTCAATGGCTGGAGCTCAGCCAATCTGAAGCCAGGAGCCAGGCGCTTCTTCCAATTCTCACATGTTGGAATAGGGTCCCAAAGGTTTGGACCAGCTTGACTGCATTCCCAGGGCACAGGGAGGGAGCTGGATGGGAAGCATGGCTACCAGGATTAGAACTCGCACTCATATTGGATGCAGGGGTGCATTCAAGGCAAGGACTGTAACCACTCTGCTATTGTGCTGGGCACAAATTTATTCATTTGTTTTTAAATACTGAAAGATTTTTACCTTTCACGGCTACAGTATTTCACTCAAAAGTATTCGAAAGTGGTAGATTATTGCCTTTGTAATGGCTGCTTCTTTTTATACAAATGTTACATGGGCATTAAAGATATCAAGCAATCAGAAAATCAACCTATCATCCCAAATGCCGCTGCCTACAATAACCAAAATTAACATTGATTTCATTAACTCAGTATTTGTAGGCAAAAGAATACTGGATGCACGGAGAGACACTAGAGGAAGGAAAAATGATAAGCAAGTGAGGGAATGAGAGAGAGTGAGCAAGAGAAGGTAAAATCCTGCCAGAAAATGGTATCAAGTGGGTATTATACTTTCTATTTTGACATGAAAGTACTAGCATAATTTGACCTTAAAAGAAAAGTAACTAAGTCCACTAAATTAAAAGAAAAGTGAAATCCAAGAGCTTGAAGTCATTTTTAAATTGAAGAATAACAACTAAAAATAAAATTAAACAATTATTAATTATGTGAAAAGAAAATGATTAGTTTTCCTCCTTTATCTCATTTTTTTCTTTCCTCTTTTGATCTGATTTTTTCTGATTATATCATCTTTTCATTGTGTTTGGTGTTAAATACCAAAACACTTTAATTCAATTCCCTTAACTGTCATTTTCTAGCTTTTTCAGTCTTGATTGTTTTTCAAGTCTTTTAGTGGCTTCCGTTAATCTCTTTACATAGCTTCTCCCTTGCATTTCTAAGCTGTTCACTTAGTGGAACACCTATGTGGCTTAATGTTGCTCAAGTGCCGGCATGTTTCTGTTTTACTTAGACTCTTTGTTGCCTTTAAGCTCTACAAGAATTTGATTCAATGTGTTGTTCTTGAGTCAGTTTCTATCAAAACCTTGCAAACAATAGTGTCTTTCCACATTTCATGGTGCTCTATTGGAGACTGAGCCAAGCTGGGTTCTTCCCTGCCTATTAATAATTTGTTTCTTTCTGCCTGTCAGTTTGAAAAATTGTATTTTTTGTAACTTATGTTTTAAGAGGTAAGATACCAGTTTACTGATATGTAATAACTTCCACCTTTCCTCCTAAGATTATTTTCTCCCAGTATCCAAACTCAGTTGTTATTTCAAAGATCTTTATCCAGTGTTTCTGCATATCTATTTTCTATACCATTTGTTGGATTCTCTAACATAGAAAGAACATTTCTCATTTGGTTGAATAAAAGTAGGTTGGTTCTTTCATGTTTATCCTATGTGTAATTGTTTTAATGTGTTTTGTTTTATTCTATAGCAATGGTGTGGCATTATTATGCTTGCAAGTGTCATTTGGATTTTTGCTTCAATTTATCTTACTCATCACAGTGTCTTTGCTGTACCTTGGGTATGGTTTGTTCCTCCAGGATATTGTGCACTAGCAACTTGGTTCCCAATGTAATGATATTGACAAATTTAGGGCTGTAAAGAGCAAGCAGGGCTTTATGATAGATGATGATGTTATGAAAATAACCTCATTAAAGTGTTAATGCTACTCTCAAAGAATAGAATCGGTCTCCTGGGAATAAATTAGTCCCAACAGGAGTAGGCTGTTATGAAAGAATCAACCTGGTCTTTCCTGTCTTTTACTTCTTCTCTTGCCATTGAGTGACACCAGATTTCTCTCTCTTTTTGTGCCTCCCACTTTCCTCTCTTGCATATGCTCCTTCTTTGCAATGTTATGTGTAGTGAGTCTTCAGCCTGAAGCTGTTGCCAGTGCTGTGCCCTTATGCTAAACAAACCTGTTTATTTACTAAACAAAAAGTCTACAACCTCAAGTGCTTGTGTATAACAGAAAATAGACTAAGAATGTGGATTATCAATTCTTGCCTCCTTATGTTTTCTATACACTGAAAAACAGAGCAGTGTTTTCAGAACTCAAAAGTGATTCTTATTCTTTTCTTCTTCAGGCCCTTCTGTGCCTTAACAAGGAAGAGTTATCTAGGAATTCCCCGGAGGTAAAGGACTGTGTAAGCCACTTCAAGCTGTTAGCAATTTAAAAAACAAACTCTTGGCTATTTGCTTTGTTAACGTGGTTTAGACATCTTTCCTATCATACTTGGGTGGGAGCCAGAATGCCCAAACCCTTAGTGAGAAGAATGGCTTTATAAGACATTGTAAGGCATTCCAAGAACCAGACGGGGGACTGAATACTCAAATGAACTCACTTAGGAAATGTTAATATAATTACAAGTTTAAAGAATTGCTGATATAGTTTGAATGTTCTATTTTTTGCATTAAATGTTCTTTATCATGATATATATAGTTAAAAATCCATTTAATATCTGTTGCTCTTGGTATATTTAAAGAAATTAACTACTAAGAAGCCAAAACATCAAGAATATTTTTATGTTGCTTTCCATTCTTATAATGAAGACAAAAGTCCCTGCTGTGAAGGCAAGATGACAGCTTGTGAGCCTACGTGAACCTGTACTGTATAGTTCCTCCATTCCTTGAGAGGCTTGCCCCGAGATCAGCCATTTCCTCCTCAGATGGAGTCCATTGCTGGCCCCCCACATGATCATCCATGGTTGATTCTGACTCTACTTCTAGCATATGCAGAGGCGTGTGCCACATTTTTCAGTTGCTTCATTCTTTTGGCTATCTGTAGCAAAAATCAGATGTCCTAGTCACTGACATTTTCCTTGTACCCATCCTTATGCTTTAAAACACACTGAACACCAAAGTGCTTATTTCCTCTTCTTTTTTTAAATGCAAATAACTGGTTGATAAATTCTGGCTATAGAAATAGTACTGGAGGGCCCCCAAACAGCAGCCTAGTGGTTAAAATCTATGCCTGGCATGGGTCAGGATCCCATTGGGCAGTGGTTCTAATCCCAGCAGCCCTGCTTTCAATCCATCTTGTGGCCTGGGAAAGCAGTTGAGGACGGCCCAAAACCTTGTGATCCTGCACCTGTGCGGGAGACCCAGAAGAGGCTCCAGGCTCCTGACTTGAGATTTGCTCAGCTCCAGCCTTTTTTGGTCTCTTGGGGCATGAATCATTTAATGGAAGATCTTCCTCTCTGTCTATCTTCCTCTGTATATATCTGACTTTCCAATAAAAATGAAATGAATCTTAAAAAAAGAAATAGGTCTGGAATAAAAATTTGATTAAACAAAATCTATGTAGTAATGCAAGCTAAAGTAGATCTATGTGAGAGTAAAAGATAGAAGGTGTCTGGTAGATTACAAGGTACTTACCAATGCCCAGTAGGTTTGTTGAGGCATGCCATTGATGAACACATCTACCAGCAGCATAATCACTCCAGGGATGGCAAAGATAGCACTGACAATGTTCATCCCCAGGGTGCCTTTCAGCTAATGGAGACAACAATAAAAATGGGTTATATAGAGTCTAAAGGAAATTAGTTAAGTATAAGTCAAACATAATAATTCTGAATCCTGGACATTGTGAAAGTTTTCCAAGTTGAACTGACTTTGCTTTGCTCTTTGTATTGTTTACATGAAAACTACGTGTTTAGAGGAGAAGCTGTGGTCTTCCTTGGTGGAGTCATATTAGCAAAATATGGAATTTTCTGTAGTGTCTACAATAATATTGGGACATATGGCAAAATAATTTGATGCAGCTCTGAGCTGATTGCAGACACAATTAGAAATTAGAATCTTTTGCAAGGTTCAATGTTGTAAGAAAATTGCCATGTGAAAGGCCTAGTGGTTTTCTTCCCCAAAAGGACAGAGTGTGTACTTGGACAATCTGGTTAGAGGAAGGGACCCCTAAAAAATGCCACGAACGGAGATGTGTTTTGTTTTTGAGTTACAATGGGTACTTAATTAGCACTGGAGTGCTTTTCGTTTAGTTTTATTATTTTGTTTTCTCTGGAAAGCACCATGAGCCTATATTTCTATTTTTTCCTTCTTTCCTTTTGGGCAAAATCACATACAATCTTTAAACCACCTCTGCTCTAGTTGGCTGCAGCTGTTGGAAAAAATTTCCTCCTGATTCCTAAGCAGACCAGGAGGCTGCAGTGGGTAGAGTACTGTGACTGAGAGAATTGAAAGTCCTTTTTCAGTGATTATTTGTAAAAGCTTTTCAAATATCCATTTCTGGATGGTTGTAAGGGGGACTTGCAGAATTGTAGAACAATGATTTAAAAATTAAATAGAAAATCAGAGCAGAAACAAAAATCTAATAGAATATGACTAGCAGAGATACACAGACACAGACAATAAAAATATAAAGCAGAGCTGAGAAATGGCAAATGAACATAAGTGAGCATTGTAACTGCAGCTGCAAGGAGTGTTTCCTGGACTCTTGTTACAATTTCCGCTATTGCTTTGTGAACTGACTGAGCTAGTGAAAGCCTAACCAGCCCTCACGTTTACTACGTTCTACCTTGTGAGCTTGAGTCAGCCTGTGGAGTATTGCCTATGCCAAATGTCTAATTTGGTGGACTGTTCCCCTACTCCAGGACACATCACAGGGAACAATCAACAAAGACTTTTGGGAAAGCACTCCAAATCACATTTTAAAAATCTGCCTTCACAAACAACCTGCATTCTACACTCCCACCCCAACAAGTGAAAATAACATTCGAATGCATAGGAAAAGAAACTTTTAAACCTACCAGACAACTGGAAAGTTGCTTGGATGCTGCTACAGAGAGTGAGCCAGAGATTATGAACTGTAGGAATAAGATTTATTTGTGAAACAATCAGTTTCTCTCACTCTTTGTCTTAAAGATTTATTTGTCTTTACTTGATGGAATTACATAGGAAGGAAAGATTAGACAAGGAAAGAGAGATCTCCATTTGCTAGTTTATTCTCGAAATGACTGCAAAAGCCAGAGCTGGGCAGGTCTGAAGCCAAGAGCCAGAAACTTTCTTTGTGTCTCCAAGTTGGGTGCAGGGACCCTGTTTGCTGCTTTCTCAAGTCAATTGCAGGGAGATGGATTGGAAGTGGAGCAGCAGAACACAAAACAGCACCTGTATGGGATGCTGGTGCTACAGGCAGAAGATTACTTCACTAGGCCACCTCTCCAGATTCCTCTTCCTGTATGTTTGGACTTCTGTTAAAAGGAATGTTTTTCTATCATTTGTTACCTCTGCTTCTGCTCATATTCCCTAGGTTTTTTAGAACAATTCACAGGGAATTCTTGTCATCCTTCCCCATCTACCTCTACCCCCTAGCTGCTGCTATATAAAGAATTCTGTCTAGAGTGATCTTTCCTTGTTTTGATGATTCCTGAGATTCTTAGTTAAAATCTTTTCATTACTGATTGCTGAAGTTGAAAAAATTTCTAAATACTAATTTGAGAGACAGAGTAAGATCTCTCTCTCAGTGATTTTTCTTCTGATACAACTAGAGCAGTTTTTGTTGTGTCAGCCAAAATCAGGATCTGGGAACCCAGTCCAGGTCTGTCACACAGGTGACAAGAAATGAACTGCTTAAGTCATCACTTAGCTGCTTGTCAGGCAGCATGAATCAAGAGTGATGCCAGGAACTGAACCCAGGGTACTCCAATATGGGATGCAGTCCTCTTAAAATGACATCTTAGCTTCTAGGCCACGTGCCTGTCCCTACATGCTCTGGTCCTGACACACTCACCTCCTTTAGCCACTTCATATTCAATACTCAACATTTCTGTCTAAAACCTAATGAAGAAATAGAACTTTGGCTTGCCTATTGGTAGACCATAGTGAACTTTTAAAATGGAACAGCCTTTCCTGTAAGCTCAGGAATCATCAAAATGAAGAAAGCATACACTGCAATGAGTTCTGTCTATACAGATGGTTGGCTTGCTATTACCCATGTGAGGTTGATCCTCAAGTTAAGAATGGAGAGTAAAAGTTGTTTCTTCTTATGCCCATTTGAAGTTGTTATTTCTTGAAACTTTGTAGTCCTCAATGCAGGACTTGTCAGGATTGGGGCTTGAAGACTGGAGACAGCAAGACGGTGTAAACTGAGGAGAATGGCTTTTACAGAGTATACTTACACAGAGTCCACCCCAGAATGGATAAGAACTAATGAAAGTAATGGAGAAATAACCCGACTGGTTTGTGTCTGAGTATCTCAGCATTCCCAGAATGATTCCAAGTTCAGTATGCATAATTCCAATCAGGATCTGGATTGCCTGGAAAAAGAAAACAGGAATTTAAAAAAATTGCTTTTTCAATTTCAGGCCTATAAAACATTACTGTTGCTGTGTTTCTTGCTTTCCTTACTTGTAACCATGGACATTAAAGCAGGGTGTGGGCCATGAGGATTTTACTGTATGCTACACAACCTCGGGACAAGGGCTTCGTGAAAGGCCCTAAATGAAAATAATTCAAGGGAGTTTTCTCAGGGAAGTTCCATCAGAATTCTTCAGAAAACCAACTTCTTAAGTATGCATGAATGTCCACCAACAATCTACGGAAAACTCTTATAAACAAAGTCCTTTTATTATGATTTCAGTGACTGTCATCTCAAAATGGATTGACTCTTGGCCTGAGTAATCCCAGAGAAACGTAAAGGAAACAGTGAAGATAAAATGATTTGGTGGATGTTAATGTTCTAAACACTTTACATTTATTGTTGAGTGTAATCTTTCCAACAGCAGGTGGAGACACAAGAAAATAACACAAATGACGTGTCTAAGGCTGCGTGATCACTCAGGGAGATCTGGGAGGGGTTCCCATCACAACTATTTGGTACTCAGGCTCAGCTTTACTCCATTCCATCTATTCCCTAAAAACATCGATTACCACAGTCAAATTAGTACTTTTTTTATTCCTTCTTTCTGAATTCTGGTTGCATATTATGGAAATAAAAACTTGACCCTTTACTCACTCCTATTGTGTTTTTGTTTAACTTGTTTGTATGCCATCATAACTTCTTTTTTCTTTTTTGAAACCTAAAATACATTCCCAAAGGTAGCAATTACTTTTACTTTTTGTGCCTTTTATTTAACTTTATTCAGCCTTGATCATTTGAAATTTTCTTTTAAAAAAGATTTATTTTTATTTGAAAAGCCAATTTTACAGAGACAGAGAAAAAGCTCTTCCATCCACCTGTGCTCTCCCCTAATGGTTGCAATGTCTATGGGTGAGCTGATCCGAAGGCCGGTGCCAGTAGCTTCCTCTGAGCTTCTCACATGAGTGCAAGGGTGCCAAGGACTTGGGGCATCCTCTGCTGCTCTCCCAGGCCATAGGTGGGATGCTGGATTGGAAGTGGAGCAGCCAGAACAAAAGTGGTACCCATGTAGGATGCTAGTGCTTGTAAGTGGAGGCTTAGCCTATAGAGGCTTGGAGCTGCTGGCCCCAATTATGGCTGCATTTCTAAGCAATATATAGTATTTGCAAACTTGGTTCAAAATTCAGTTATGAATTTATACTTCCTTCTTCCCAAGCTTATTCCTTATCTTCATAGAGTTTTTAAATTACTTTTTTTTTTTTTTACAAAATATGAAATGCCGTTGTAATTTGTTCTGCAGTTCAAATCACAGAACAGCTTAAAGCTCTGAGTTGAATAGTAGTGATGCTCTACCTGTTCACAGCTGTGACCCCTGGACTTTTTGTCAACTGGAGTGTCTATAAAGCAAATTGCTGGCAGCATAATGGCTTAATATGCTGGTCTTCCTCTTTGGTGTTGTCATCCCCACATGGGCACCTGATTGAGCCCCAACTGAGCCCCAAGTGTAACACTTCTGATCCAGCTTCCTGCTAATGGTCCTGCCCTGCATACATGTGGGGCACCCAGAAGAAGCTTCTGACTTCCAGCTTTTTTCCAGCTCAGCTCTGGTCAGTGTAACTATTTGAAGTGTAAGCTGGTGGATGGAAGATTTCTTTCTCTGTCTTTCCCTCTCCTTTGTAATTCATTCAAATAAAATAAAGAAATCTGAAAAAAGAAAAAAAGTCCCGAACTTCACATAACATTTTACAAGCATTTTTATGCATGCCTTTTAGTTCATGGAGAATGCTCTAGTGGCTCTTCATTTTACTTAGTAGAAGCCAAACTGTGTCCTCCAGGCTTGGTGGCATCTGGACTCCTGCCACCACTTCATCCTTCAACTGTCCCCACCACTCTTCTCTCCATGCAGTCTCACTATGCTGTACTTTACTGACCTTGTCCTGTTCTTTCAGTAGGTCGCACACTAAAGGCCTTCACAGGAGTGGTGCTTTTTCTGATTGACATTACTTGTTTTTCATGTTTTCTCAAATTTCACAAGCTTAGGGAAGCCTACTCTGATCAACTTGAAACCCTCTGACAGCCTTGCGTTTCTCATCTCTTTAACACATACCAGCTTGTATTGCACAATATGTTTTCTTATGTGCTTAACTTGATTTCTCCCTCTAGGTTGCAGCCATCTGAGGCTGTGCCTGTTTTGTGTGTGGGATGCATTTTATTCCTTTTGCTCTAAGTAGCAGGGTGTTTCTTCTGTATGGCTGGAGGAGCTGAGTAATGACTTCTGCAGATTAGCTTGGCTGATAAAGGAGAGCTGATGTTCATATTTTTCAAAGCTTGTAAACATAGGTGATGAGAGGTTAGTAGAGTTTGGGGAACATAATGAACATTCATCTGCCCAGTTGCAACAGAGATGTCAAAGCTTCAAATAGGCAGAGACCTGACATAATTTGGTGGAATTATTTTGTGAAATGTATTGGTGGAAAGTACTAATGATTCCAATATTGCAGGTGAGATATTCATCAAGATCACACTTTACAGTTCCTACAGAAACAAAGGGTCAACATTCAATTCTAAGCACTCTTTGGTAGGATAAAGTATTAGTCAAGTCAAAGCATTTCCAAGGGTGCTGTTGAGAGGCACAGCAGTTCTAATGACCCCCCACTTCTTTGATGGACGTCCCATATGTAGTTCCTTTCCATTTTAGATTGAAACCAACATTTACATGATTGTGAGTTCATCTCTACTCAAACACCAGGCTGGGATCAGCCCAAAGAAAAGGTTGCATTATCCAGAAAGTTTTTTTTTTTTTTTTTTAAATCAAAGTTTGAACTGTTGGGACTAAGTGTGGTGATATAACACAATAATCCCTGACCTACAAGCTGGCATCCCACTTGGGCACTTGTTTGAGTCTTGGCCTATGACCCAGGAAAGCAGTGGAGGATGGCCCAAAGTCTAGGGGTCATGCACGTACAGACCAGGAGATGGTTCCAGGCTCCCAGTTTTAGACCAGCCCAGCTTTGGTTGTTGCAGTAATTTGGGGAGTGAAATAATGGGTGAAAGAGCTCTCTTTCTCTCTTTCTCTTCCTGTCTCTAATTCTGACATTCAAGTAAAACAAATAAATCTTTTAAAAAGAGCTAGAAGTGGTGATGCTTCTTCTATCACCTCATTATTACTAATGCTCCTGCTGCATCACCACCTGGTGCATTCTTGCATGAATCTAAAATAAATGAACTTAGCAAAACAGACTAGTTGCATCTCCCTGGAAGAAATGATGAACTGAGCAGAAAAATGTTCAGAGGTTTTTAGTAAGGGATATTAAAAAGTGGATATTCTTGCCACCTGTTACTTTATAGGTACAAGGAAACTATGAAATGCAAGATTAAAATTCCACGAAGAAATATCTTACCCCCAGTGCTTTTGCTTCTTCTTTAAACTTTTTTGTTCCTTGTGCTGCTGCTGGGTTTATCTCTTGTGTGTTTCCTTGACCCTGCTGATTTGCAAACATGATTCCTGTAGTTGTGATGAATGGAACTTGGCCTCTCTGAACTTGGTTCCCTAGGTTTATCAACCCTGGAGACCCGGGAGCTGTGTATCTGTTTTGTGGGTATGGATTGGGCATGGCTTCACTTGCTCCAGGGTTGGATGATATCATCGTGCCCTAAGTATTACAAAGCAGCTCAAGTTACTCATTTATTCACAAAAGCAATGAAGGAGCATCTTGTCAAATGTCTGCAAAAAGAAGAGAACAAGAGAGCAAACACAAGGGCAAATATATACACGCAACTGTCATTCAATTGTGGAATTCTAGATATTCTATGACTTGAAGGAGGTGATAGAGAAGGAAAATGGACATAGGCATTTTTCAGTTCTTCTTGTTTGTTTTTGTAAAATCTGTGTGTACTTATACATACTGTTGCATACATGAGTTCTGACTATCTGGAAGATGCAGAAAGAAGGAAGGGACCAGGACAGGCAGATAAATGTCCTCCCCAAATGTTGCCTGTGTGTTAATCACGTCACCTGCGAGCTCACTAGAATATAGTATGGAGGAAAATTGAATTTGCAGATGAATTTAAAGCTGATAATCATCTGACCCACGAAATAGGAAGATTGTCCTGGGTTATCAGGCAGGTTTGATATAATCTCAGAAGTCCTTAGAAATGGAAGAGTGGAGAATCAAGAAGGCAGAATAAGGTGAGGACACATTTAAACAGACAGAGAATCATTAGCCAACGGTGACCGAGAAGACACATTCTAGGAAACAGGAGAGGATAGACGGACAGCTGAAGGGCCCCTAGTGACTGACAGATATGGGGAAGCAGCAGCAGAGACGGTGGTGTGGTGTTGCAGTGATCAGAAACCCAGGCAGCATTCCAATAAATGGGGACCTCAACTGCACCAGAGACCGGAAATCCACCAGCAACCAGGTGGGAAGGGACGGTCACTGGTTGCTCAGGAGGTGAACCCAGACAAAGAGTTGTCCATCCTGCTGGTTGGTTTGATTTGACCAGCATCAGAGAGAGAGCAGCAGTTCCCACAGAGGTGGTGGGGAACAAGGTGAATACATGGTCCAAACCCTCACTAGAGCCAAATCCTGTGTCATCTTGTGTAGGAAGGCAAAGGTTATTGGACAGGACTGTGCATACACTAAGCTTGTGGTGAACTCTCTTCTGGTTCAGTGTATCGCAACGATGTGGTATCCTACAGGTTCAACCCACAATAAGTCCGGGTAGCCTCAAGACCTAGTGGGCAGCAGATCAAGAACTCCATGAATAGCAAATCAGACGCTATTTTGTAGTGTGGCAAAGGCTTTGAGACTGGAAGGACAACAGTGAGCTGTGCATGCACTGAGCTAGGAGAAAACTCACTAAGCTTAGTGCATTGCACTGGGCCTACATTGAAAATAATTCGAACTCAAAAAGGTCCATGTGGCCTTCAGACCTAAAGGCCAGCAGATACCAGCAAGATCAGCACAGTGAGCAAGCTAACTATTCAGGACATCTAGTGTCTCCCTAACCCTGGGAAGTGCTCAAGCAGGAAGTGGGAGAAAGTTTGTATAGACAGCCTCATCATGAGATCAGAGGAGGTGGAGAGGCTGAGCCAGGAGCTGGGGGTATGGAGACCATGGTGTTAGTCTAACGTAAGAACCCAGACCTGGAACTCGCTGGAGGGAGTGGCACAGTGACTGCAAACAAAGAGCCATGTACCAACCATAATAAGTAAAATCGAACTGTAGACCTGTGGGTGACACAGCTTAGAAACCTGCCCCAAGGAAAAGAATCTGCTAAGCAGAAGTGCAATGACCAAGAGCAAAAGAAGAGACAGAGGCACAATGATTGTCACTGAAGACTCCCCTGCAAAGGAGCAAAACCCTTTGCCAACCTCAGAGTTCACTGAGGAAGACATCGAGAAAGTGGGGGGTACAGAATTCAAAACACTTGCCATAAAATTTCTTATCAACAATGAGAAGCATGTAATGCAGGCATTCAAGGAATTGTAGGAATATATCACACTGGAAATGAATCAAATGAAAGCTGATAGATCAGAAAGTAGGGATATAGTAGAGCAAATAAAAAATGTAGTAGAGAGTCTCCAAAATAGAATGAATGAAGCAGAGGAGAATCTCAGAATTGGAAGAAATTTCCTGTCACCAGAAGGAAACAAACAAAAAGCTGGGAGTAGACCTGGGTCAAGCTAAAAAAAGTATTCAAGAATTGAAAGACAGTATTAACAGCCAAATGGAAGAGTTACTGGAGTCCCAGAAGGTGCAGAAAGAGAAACTGGGATTGAAGGTGTATTCAATGAAATAATAAGGAAAATTTCCCCTAATCTAGAAAAAGAATTGGAAAACAAAATACGAGAGAAATGAGAGAATGAAACCCTATGAGTGGTTTACAAAAAACCATTGACTTTCAAAATGTCAATGCCATGAATAAGAAGGCAGGAGACAGACCAGGGTGTAGTGACCAGAGTAAGAATTTTCCTGAGCATTAAGTAAGCGCACAGGTAGCTGCAGTTTCAAATCATCCCATTAAGTTGTATATTGTGCCCTATGTCCACATGCGTGTGATCTCATGAACTCCTTTACTGTTGATAATTGCATGGTTTTAGTTTCTTTGAGAAACTTGGTGTAACAAGACTTTTGTCTGCTGTTTAATTTTTGGACTAGCATCCTTAAATTCCATCTATTGTGTGAAACTATTAATAGTTTTCTTCATAAAGATGATGGCTTATCCCCATGTGCCATTTCATAGAGTCAAGTTCAGTTTTTAAGCAAACCAGCCCTTTAACTTATAGCAACTTGGCCAAATACACAAACAGCTAAAATGCTTGGGGGCAAATAACTGATTTCCCAAATGAAATGAGAGCCATCCTGTGAATGATACAGAAAAAGTGCAAATAGTGACAAGACTCATTTCACAGACTCCACCTAATGATTTAGCATATTAGCACCTGCAGCCTTCCACAAATAAAGCTCCTAGCAAACTGATTCTTCCTTTTTTTTTTTTGACAGTAAGAAGCGTCCTAATTAAAATTCTTCCAACACCAAGTGCTACCATATTTCTTCTATGCTTGTAGTCTTATGGCAACCACATTGCCACTGAATGTTCGCAGTAGGGAATGCCTGTTGTTTGTTGATTAATGTTGATGGAATGGCACACATTTGAACCTTCTATGTCACATGTCACCTTTTTTTCAAGATCTAGTTCTTCATATTTTCTCCTTGCTTTTTACCTATGCTATAGCACTTGATTTTTTCATTCATCTCTTGTCTCCTTAACCTCATCATTCCATTTTCCCTTATTCATCTACTGATCTTGACATAAAGAATTGTCTTCCACCTTTCCAGCCTAGAGATTAAAACACAGCACAGAACACAGAAAGCTGTATCCACCCCCGTTATGCCCATCAACGCGAGTGTAGACAAAGGAAGAGATGTGTCCATGGACTTACTTGGTTTCCTTGACACCTGTGTGCTTTCTCTTTAGCAGTTGAAGACTCTGTGCCTGTCTCAGATGCTCACCTGCATTTTATAAGCATCTTTCACTTCATTGATCCAAACCGACCTATCTCTCATCTTTTTTTATAATTCCAAAGTCCTTTTATTGTTGACCAATGTCAGCATAAATGTCTACATACGCCCTTCATGGCTGACCAAGAGGTGCTGCTTAGAAGGAACAGGATTCAGAAACAGCTGGAACTTGAACCAGGCAGTCTGTATGCAATGTGGATGTCCCAAGTGTTGTCTTAATCACTACACCAAATGCCTGCTCCTAATGTAATTCTTAATAGGGGCATACTATTTCACTTTTTGGAAATGATCTGTTTTATTTAATTTTACTTATTATTAAAAGCTATTTTTAAAAACTACTTTAAAATTTTAATAGTTTTATTTTAAATTTAAGTATTATACTTATTCAGTCCTATTTTACAGTGTAAATACTTAACCTTTTACTGGATTTCCACAGGGCAGAAGTCACATGGTATAACTCATAAAATGCTTGTGGAATGAGTTAGAGATAAGGATGTATGTTCTTTTTTCTCTTGTGTGTTATCAAAGGTTTTCTTTCTCTTGTGGTTTTCAGCTTTGTAACATTTTACTTCAGAATAATTTCAAGTTCATAAAGCAAAAATTGTGAGGTAGTAATATACAGACTTCTTGTCAAACTCATCCCACTTTGTCTTTTATGAATATGCTGTATTTGTATGTTTGTGAAAACTAATAACCCTCACCAAGCTTCTGTTTCTATAATCTAAGCTCCTTGTATTCTTCTCACCTCTCCTAATTGCTAATTTATGTGTTCTTCTAAAATATAAAATGTGATGATGATTTATTAATGCTGAGATTAAGAAAGTGATCATTTCAATCTTATATTTTTCAATATTTCTCGAAGTTTGAAGATAAGTACAGGAACAGGATGTCTCCATTATGTTAGAATGAGCCCAGTATCATGTTGATTTTCTGACAAGGGATGCTATGATTGACTTGACTGCTAGTATGCAGAGAACAAGAAGAGAAATCTGAGAATGAGTGGTGATCTTTAAGCCCAGATTCCCCAGATATGGCCTGGTGACCTTCAGACTCACCTCTTCATCAGATTAATTTGTATCAGACCTGTATACTGTCCTCTTTCCTTTTCTGGTGTCATAACTGGAATTGTTGCCGTCAATGATGTGATGTTTCTGTGTGTTACGCTGTTGTGTATTTCCTCAACTCCCTTTGATAAGGATTGGATATAGCATGATTTCATAATCTCTTTATCATTAACTGAGACATGCTTGTAAAACTTGGTTAAATACTAATGAATTGCTGGCTGATGCCACAAAATTCACTTTACAAAGGAAGAGAAAGATTCTGAAATGTGTAGTCCCAGAATATGCAGATGTTATGGGAAATGTTTTCTCTACCTTTAGTGATTTTTCTTGCGAGCTTAGAAAAAAAGATCCAAAATGGTATCTTGTGGAGTTGCCATTGTATGTCTGAAAGCATCTCTGGAGATAAACGTGAACGTTTTGTCAGTAGCTAATGAACTTCTAACCCAACAAGAGATATTCAATAATAGAAGCTATTATTGTTGCAGCATAAATGACATTTATTAGTAAATTAATTTGTTTTATTTTTATTTTTTTTTTTTTTTACAGATGACAAAG